GTACCTGATGGGCATGACTTTGGTTGTACTTTAGGACATAGAATATATCTTGTTTTACCAATTCCTCTAATGGTAACAGTCTGTCCTAAGTTACTAATGATACAGCATACTCTTAGATACAGTGATGGTTCATGTTTATATCCAGTACAATCAGCCATACAATAAGATCCTTCTCCTTCATCAATGGTAACTATTAAACACAGCAACAACAACTTAAAGATGAACATCTTTGACATTTCACTAGACTGTACGGGAGTTGAACAAGGACTGGAATTCAAGTCATCCATTTAATGAGTATTTGCATCTGCACATGTTAGTGTAAATACATTACCAGTTAATTCCTACTGTTTAGATAACACCACCAATTAAATTATGCCACACATGATTGCTGCACTCTTAATTTGATTTTGTAGAAAATTGAAATGATAATTAATTGACCATTCCTTTGTATATTAGACTCTTAACTGATTCCTCATAGTCTCTAGTAGTACTAACAGGGTTTAGTTTGAGGAGTATATAGTCTTGTTTAGTTACTATGTTGAGTCCTTTAGTTAGTATATACTTGTTAGTATTTAACATCTTTAACATTTTACTTGACTGTACATGAGTTGACAAAGACTGGAATTAATGAAATGAATTAGTTACCTGCTTTTATAGAAAATCACAGTTAACCTACTTAATACTTATGATTATAATATTATTAGCTACCAGTAGCTGGAAAAGTTATTTATAAGTTTTATAATCAGTGGTTCCACTTTATTTTTTCCTACTACTTTTTTATTTTTAAAGTTGTCTTCTTCTTTTATAATTTCTCTTTATATTTACTTGTTCTCCATTATCCTCCATTCCCTCACTGCAGGAACAGAGCAGGTATCATAATCTGATCCCAAAGTTCATCAATGCACAGACTGGCAGATTGAGGAACGATGACATGGTCACACTAGGAGCTAGAGCCGACAGTTATTATGAGTATTTATTTAAACTTTGGCTGCAAAGTGGGAAGAAGGAAGGAAAGTATGTGATGCAAAATTAAAATAATACAAAAATAATGATCGTTATAATGCATGTATGTACATATATCATGCTTGTAATTTGAAAAATTGAAGTCGGAATCAGCTCAAACTTTCTACACAGCATAAGGACATCAATATGTATCAGAAAATGTAATAAAAATTGTGGGTGATTTCGGAGCCATTTTTTTAGAAAAAACCATGGGCTGTAGCCTTGGGTATTTTTCAGATTTTGGCTAATTTTTTATATGGCCGTAACTCAAAAAGTTAAAGTCTGAATTAGCTCAAATTTTCTACATAGCATAAGTATATCAATATGTATTAGAAAATGTTTGATCCTACTCTTAATCACCTTTATTTTTAAAGATAAAATAAATTACTTTAACAGGTTTTTGAAGTGGTACTTGGAGACTGTTCAAGGTGTTGAAGAGGTCCTTCTTCGCGAATCTGAGCCAAACAAACTAACCTTTATTGGTGAAAGCAAAGGAGCCAGCTTTATACCTAAAATGGATCACTTGGTTTGCTTTTATGCCGGAGTCCTAGCCCTGGGATCTGAGCATGTCCAGCAACCATCACACATGAAGATTGGGAAGCAATTGATGTATACTTGTTGGCAGATGTATGAGAGAATGCCAACTGGTCTGAGTCCTGAGATTGTGTACTTCAATATTGATCCAAACAGCAAGAAAGATGATATTTTTGTCAAGGTGTGTGTTGTATATATCAAATCTAATAACTTATACTTAAAATGTGATATTTTTTGCAAATCGGCTATTTAATTTGCGTTTTCACCATTGCATTTTTAGCTCACTTTTTAGCATTATATTGATTATGAAAATTTGCAAAAATTAAACCTTTTAGCATTATATTGATTATGAAAATTTGCAAAAATAAAACCTATAACATCTATAAACACTTAACCATTTTCTCAATCAAAATCTGCAAAAATGAAACTATCAAATATTTCACCATTTTATCTTCTGTTTCCTTAGATGAATGATAAGCACAATTTATTGCGACCAGAGACAGTGGAGTCTTTATTTGTTCTTTATCGACTCACAAAAGACCAGAAGTACAGAGACTGGGGCTGGAGGATATTCCAGTCCTTTGAAACTTACACAAAACTAGAAAATGGCTACAGCTCGATCAGCAACGTCCAGAACCCAGACAATCCAGGCTATCGCGACAAAATGGAAAGCTTTTTTCTCGGAGAGACTCTGAAATATTTATTTTTATTATTTTGCGACGATGATTGGGTTTTACCGCTGGATGAGTGGGTATTTAATACCGAAGCACATCCGCTACCCATTTGGGTGACTAGATAATGAAACTTTTAATAATATTATTTTGCATTCTAAATTATGCTCTTATATAAGTTACATAAACTTTGTAATGGTTTTGATTTACACTGATTATTATTTAAAGAGTCTCATTTATATAATTAAAATAAATATTACAATAATAAACAACAATAATAATATCACATTATATAATAGTGTGGTGTCTTAGGTAGGTAGGTGCATATATTATTATTGTTATTATAGTTTATATGTGTTTAATGTTCCCTGAATGTTTATTAGGAGGAGGTAATGGTTGTCTAAAAAAAGAGAAATACAATATAGTATATAAGTGGTTTTTAGGGTTGCAAATTTTGCAGATTCCTTTCTGAATCAATCCACCAAGAAAACAATTTAATACAGTACCCACATGGCACACAGTCCGATTTGCAAAATTATAATTCGTGAATTGGAAATTTAGTAGATTTCGCAAAATATAATTCCCTCAAAAAACCCACTTATACAGCCAGGGCCGCCAATAGGCTACGTGGGGTCCAGGGCAAAAACTTTGATGGGGCCCCTACTAATACAAATCTCCCCCCTTATTAATAACAGCGATTAACAAAATGGCCCAGCAAGAGTTAACTTTAAAAAGTTGTCATGATTCTTTGATCTTTTTCTGTGAAAAAACTATGCATACTTTACTACTGACCAGGTGCTTGGGGGCCCTCTATTGATTGGGGGCCCGGGGCAAAATGCCCCACCTGCCCCCCCCCCCCTATTGGCAGCCCTGTATACAGCAGTAATAATATACATTTATGTGTCCATTCAATATCAAATTTACTTTGCTTGCTTTGAAGGTAGTTCCAGATACTCCACATCACTGACAATGCTTCCATAACTTGACTCCCTTCCACCTTCACTGAGCCCATACTCCAAACCCCCAGATCTGGTACCAGGACCACCAAATGAGAGAATAGGAATGGAAACCGGTTGCTGATGGCTGTAAGGTAGAGAAGAAGTCAAGGATGAGGTGGTGGGTAGTATGCTTGTCTTTTTTGTGGATGAGGTTACAGAGTGTATGGGCAGTGTTGAAGATATAGCAGAATAAGATGAAGAGTGTGTTGAAGGGATGCTAGCTTTTGAGGTAGTGCTTGAAGCTACACTAGGAGTAGCTGATCCTTGAGATCCGGTAGTAAAGGTTGACTTGTTGCTGAGTGAATTATAATGTATGGAAGAAGCTATTGGTAGGGTGGTGGTTGAAGAAGGTAAAGATGACATGCTCTGAGCTACTGATGATCCAACTCTAGAGATTGCAAGTTGTTCTCTTGTTTCCTCTAGCATTTGTCTCTCAACTGATAACTCAGCTGACAAAGAAGCAACTTGAGCTCTACACCTAGCAACTTCTTCTTGTCCAGTACCTTCTCTCAGCTCCAGTTCTTTTATCTGGGTCTCTAGTTTACTTATAAGTTCGTCACGGGTTTTAATCTCACCATCTCGAGCTCCTCCAGACCTTTCAAGCTGCCGCTTGGTCTGCAAGAGCTCCTCTTGGAGTTGGTGGTTTTGCTGGAGGACCTGTTTGGTTTGCTCTTTGGAGATGTTTTCTCTTTGTTTAGTGTTTTCCAACTCAATCTCAAGGGACTCTCTTTGCTGCTCTAACTGATGCAGTCTAGTTGTGATACCCTGCAGGACAAAGGAAAGAAAGAAGAACAAAGTTACATGCATAAAGTGTAAAAAGGAAGGAAAATTGGAGGAAAGAAAAGAGATAATACTGTATACTGGGAAATTTTCGAGTAGCCAAATTTTTGCAGATTTCGCGTTTTCTTGCTCTGTTGCGAAAATAAAAATCGTGAAATTCTGAATTTACATTGCCACATGGTGAGTTTACAAGCTATTGGTGAAAATATTATTTTGTGAAATCTTACAAATGCAAAATTCATGAAAATTTAGCCACGCAAAAATATCCCAGTATACGGTATATTACTGTGTCTTTATGACGAGGTCTTCTCAGATCTTCTTCTAACTCCTGTATTGTCTAAATATAAAGAATTACATTGATACATAATAAAACTCTCTCTTCACTCACTTTGCATGCTTTGACATATTTCTGTGAGAGGTCTTCCATTTCTTGGGTCTGCTGCCTGAGGTCGGCTTGTCTCTGAGCTAAATTACGCTCCAGCTGAAGAGTCTTTGTAGCAGTCTCTGCTTGATGCCTCCGCAATAAAGCATCAAGATCCATTACCTAAAATATACAACAGGAAGTAAATGATAGAAGAAATAAATATAATTATAAAAATTATTTTTATCTACTCTCTATCTCAAATAGGAAGAGGCTACAGCTGCTAAGATATATTATATTATGAATGAAACAGCTACTATTGAAGCTCCTTATACATATAAAATGGCCAGAGGTTGATTAATATAATTTAGAAAGGTTAGATGTTCTCTCTGTCTCACTTGCTGTGATCTTTTATTAAGTTCTTGTTGCATCTCATTGATGGATGCTTCCATGGAGAGTCTATCAGTGTCACTTGATTTCTCAACTGTCCTCAGAGTCTCTCGTAATCCCTCAACCTCTCTCACCTTCTCATCAAAACTTAACTGAACCTGGATAGATAAAAATACATTAAATATTATTATCATAGTATTGCAGTGATTATTTAAATTATTAGTTGCTATGAAACAAGCTAGGTTACATTAAGACATAGAAAAATTGTATTTTTGATACATACTTTGCAAAAATTAAAAAAATATAATTGTTCTTCTACCTCTTTTATTTTCGAATGAAGTCTCTCCCTCTCTGCCCTCCATTCCTCTGATCTCTGCTGCATCTCAGACAACTGCTGGTTACACTGCTGCAGTCTCTTCTTCATCTCGCTCCTCTCGCCCTTCCACCTCTCACTCTCTCTCTCCATTGCCTCTCTCCCTCGCTGATGCTCCTGTCTCAACTTCTGCTGCTCTGCCAAAGACTGACGAAGAACACTCACTTCTCCCTCAAGCTGACTGGCAAGGAGTGACGAGTGTTGAAGCGAATTCAGTCGGTCCATGAGCGACGATATCTCTTCGTTGGCTCGTTCGAGTTTCTCGACAAGTTTCCGTTTTGCTGTTTCATTTTCTTCAAGTTGATCTCGATGTTTCATGCTCTCTCTTTTCTCGTCAGAGTTGTGCATTTGAAGCTGCTCCTGGTATAGTTCTATTTCTTCCTGGAGCTGTCGTATTAGTTTGTTATTAGCTAGCATGTCATCTTTGCATTGAACCAACTGCTTACTGGACACTTCAACCTGTAAGGATTGCCTGTATCATTATTGTTACTAACTAATATGAAATGTACAATGTAGTATTCTAATATAAAAAGCAAAGACTATAGCCCATGGTTTTTTCTGAATAATGGCTCCGAAATCACCCCAAATTTTTATTACATTTTCTGATACATATTGATGTCCTTATGCTGTGTAGAAAGTTTGAGCTGATTCCGACTTCAATTTTTTGAGTTACAACCATTTTAAAAAATGAGCTAAAATCTGAAAAATATCCAAGGCTATAGCCCATTTAAATCGGGTCATCACCCTCAAATCTCATTAAAAAAGATATGGTAATTTACACAAAGGAGCATAATAATAATAATACATTAGCCTAATGGTTTTTTCCAAAAAATGGCTCCAAAATCACCTCCAATTTTTATTACATTTTCTGATACATATTGATGTGCTTATGCTACGTAGAAAGTTTGAGTTGATTCCGACTTCAACTTTTTGAGTTATGGCCATTTTAAAAATGAGCTAAAATCTGAAAAATACCCAAGGCTATAGCCCATGGTTTTTTCTAAAAAATGGCTCCGAAATCACCTCAAATTTTTATTACGTTTTCTGATACATATTGATGTACTTATGCTGTGTAGAAAGTTTGAGCTAATTCCGACTTCAATTTTTTGAGTTATGGCCATTTTAAAAAAGTAGCCAAAATCTGAAAAATACCCAAGGCTATAGCCCATGGTTTTTTCCAAAAAATGGCTCCAAAATCACCCCCAAATTTTTATTAGATTTTCTGATACATATTGATGTACTTATGCTGTATAGAAAGTTTGAGCTGATTCCGACTTCAATTTTTCGAGTTACGGCCATTTTAAAAAATGAGCCAAAATCTGAAAAATACCCAAGGCTATAGCCCATGATTTTTTCCAAAAAATGGCTCCGAAATCACCCCCAATTTTTATTACATTTTCTGATACATATTGATGTACTTATGCTGCGTAGAAAGTTTGAGCTGATTCCGACTTCAATTTTTCAAGTTACGTCCATTTTAAAAAAAACACAGAGATGCTATCATTAAATGATTATTACCAAATCTATTTATAGTAACAGCCAAAAAGTAATGGTATTACCAAATCTATTTATAGTAACAGCTAAACAGTGATGGTATTATCAGTACCTGATAGTGTAATTGCTCTATCTGTTTGTCCTTGCTATCACTGTCATTCTCGACTTGTTTCAAACAAGAGTCAAGTTGTTTCTGACACGATTTTAATTCTTTCTTTAAATTGACGACCTTTCCTTGCCCCTCCTCCACCTCCACCTGGAGTCTCTCCATTGCTAACCTGAGGAAAGAGGATAAGAGAGAGAGAGGTGGGAACGAGGGGAGGTACCTGTGACTTCCTTTCTCCTGCTCCAGTTGCGATAATAATTTTGTTACGTTTTCAGTTAAAACTTTCACTTCAGTTTGACTTCCTGGTAATAATAATAATATTATCGATTATTATTAATAATATTGACGATTATCGACAAGACGTTAACAGAAGAAGTTTCGCCACAAAAAAATTGCAAATTACAACATAAAATTTATTTTTCATTTCTCTCTCTCTCTCTGACCTTTAACTTCGGTTTTCAACTTCTTAATAATGTCTTCCTTCTTCTTCAGCTCATTCTTCATCCCGTTCACCATACTCTCCAACTCGTTAATCTGCTGCGTGTGAACCGCCTTCATACGGCCCATGTCACTACGGAAACACATCGTCACGGCAACCAATAACCCCACCCACTCACCTAGCCGCCTTCTCCTGGACCTGATGCAAGTGTAGAGTGCTTGAGGACTTTTCCTGTGCCAGTTTTGATTTTAAATGAGTCAATTCTTCGACGTGAGCCTCCGCCTGTTTGGTCTTAGTAGCCAACTGGCCTTCTATGACATGGACCTGATGATGATATTAATAATAATAATAATAATAATAATAATAATAATAATAATAATAATAATAATAATAATAATAAAGTTGATAAAGTGATATAAGAGTTGTGAAATTGAAAAAGGAGAGAGAAAAAAAAGATTACTTCTTTCTCTAATTTCCTTATCTTAATCCTCGCCCTCTCCAATTCAACAGCTGGACTACTCCCTCCATTAGTGTCCAGTACGCTGGAATAAGCCGAATTAAAAGTAGCGCCTGTTCTATTAGTCATAGAATAACTTGAGATCGGCTCACGGGCAGACTTGACACTGGACAGACTGGTATTACTGGTTGATAGGGACCGGTTTAAACTGCTCAGACCAGTTGTGTCGTAATGTCGTTGGGATTTGGAAAAATGGGTGGAGCTTTTGCTGCCGGAGGCGAGAGACCCTGACGTGTGATAGGAAGACTTGGTGGGGAGTAGAGCGTTGCCACGCCAACTGAGAGAAGAGAGAGACTAAAAATAAAAAAGAGAAAATTAAATAAATAAAAATTATTTGTTAATGAACATGCAATTAATAATGGGCGGGCTTACTCTTTCAGGTTCGTCTCCACCCATTGCTCCGCCCATTCCCCTTGTGGCTGATTTGTTTGTTTTCTGAGCTACTTCAGCTCTCAGTCGCCTACAAATAACAACAACATTAATGGAATTACCATATAAGGAAGTGAATACATACGGAGGGATTATACTTAATATATCAGTGACAACACACAATGTCATACTCTCTCTCTCTCTCTCTCTCTCTCTCTCTCTCTCTCTCTCTCTCTCTCTCTCCCTCTCTCTCTCTCCCTCCCTCCCTCTCTCTCTCTCTGTCTCTGTCTCTGTCTCTCCCTCCCTCCCTCCCTCCCTCTCTCTCTTTCTCCCCCCTCTCCCTTACCTGCATTCTTCTTGCACCCCCAGTAGCTCCTCTTGTAACAGTTTCTGTTTCACACTCCATTCCTGTGCCTCATTAGTTGAGTGACCACTCCTTCCTTTACGAGAGGAGGAGGAGGAGGAGGAGGAAGAGGAGGGGACAGAGAGCGAAGGGCCGTTGCTAATGTGGGTACTATCAATCTGAAGGAGTGAAAGAAAGAAGACATCAAATAAAAGTTTGATGGTGGAAAATTAATGGAATTTTATTTTAGTGACACACGTGCTATTCTATATCACTCACACCTACATGTAAAAATAATTCCCTCCATTTTGACTGCTAAATCCCTCATTATAAAAAATTCCAATACATTGTAATATCATGATAGAATCGGCAATATTATGAAAGCTATCAAAATTTCTTAAAGTATAATCATAATTTTTTTCACTCTTTTAAAGTATTCAAAATGTTTTGACTATCACAATTAACACAAAAGCCACTAAAATCACAAACAAAAAAAAAGCACAAAAATCCAACAGAAAAGAATCTTCCATTTCTAAACTGTTACCTTTAATGGCTGGCGGCCCAACTGTGACGACACTATGGATGGTCCTAATAAATCATTAGCAGACGTATAATAAGGTACTTCGTTCTGACCAACCCTCTCGCTCGACACCTATACAAATTATGGTTATGGTGAATCATGTGATTATCACGTGACTTACGCTGATCCTAGGGCTGGATGTTTTAATGGATGAGGCTAAAGGTGTTATGTTTGCAGGTGGATCTTCCATCGGGTTAAAATCTATCCTCGGGGAACTGAGACATAAAATTAACATAAAATAAGTGAAAAATAATATTATGAAAGAGAATTACCTGTAATATGGCCTGCTAGATCCACTTGTCGATAAAATCTCATCCATTGTAATGTGAAGGTGGCTAAAGGGTTAAATTTAAAGTGGGTGTGTCTAGTGTTAATAGGCGTGGTCAGTAGGTTTGCAGCGCGTTGGGCGTGGCTGTGTCGATATGGCAGCTAACGATTTCTTTCGAGACAGGAATTGCTCCGTTACACCAAGTGGAAGACCAGCAACAAGGGCCAGGAAAGCAGCAATGCTCCTATCAAAGTATGCAATAGCTAGAAACTACTTAAATCTGCAATAAATTTACACTTTCTCTTTAAAAAAACAAACAGTCAGTCCATTGATAATAATTTTGTTTTCTTCTGTTAGTAACCAGCATCCTGGATCTCTCCAGCTCCTTGCCAGTAAACCAAAGCCCACACAAATAATGAGTAAATAATAACAATCATACTAATAATCTGCTTTGTGTTAGATCTCAGATAGATCTAAATCTGCAGCACAGTTTTGCTGTATTGCATCTCTTTTATTTTCACAATCCCTTACTGCAGGTTTAGAAGAGTGTAGAGATGCAAGGCCTCCATTGCCAATGGAGCAGATACAGACTCCTTCTCCTTGCACTTATAACTACTTTACGTCGTTTTTCTGCGGGAACAGGAGGCCATTGTCAACTCGTACTTCCTGCATACCTCACTGCAGTAGTTTTGCTTCATCTACTATATCATCATCATCTAGATCCACAGGTAAGTCCAATAAATGGCTATTGCTAGCATCAAAAATGATACCGTACAACTAAAAGTTATTCCAGCTCCTGAAAAGCTGCAAAAATTTGTTCCTTGAGCTAGGTGCGTTTATGAAAAGTAAAATTTGCAAAAAAGCAATTGCGCATGTTCACTGAAAGCTGAGAGCACTTTTAGCATTAGGAATTAAAAGCAAAATCTAGTGTATAGCATGACCTATTGTAATGTTCCTTTTAATTTATAGATAGCAGCAGCAAGAAGAGTTTGGAGCTACTAAGTAATAATCTTTGGATTCACAAAACTGCAGGCAAGCACCAAAAGGTGAGAGAGATTGAGGAGTGAGTGATAAAAGCTGCAAAAGAAAGTCTGTAAGAGTGAGAACTAACACCAGAAAGTATATAATAGTTGATGTCCATGCAGAAAGTGATGGAATAAATATTTTTATTTCTGATAGAGACCTGATGCATGTACATATTCACTGCCAAAACTCATTGGTTCCAACACATCTTCTACTAAAAGCTCTCCCTCCTATTCAATGGGAGGTAATGCAGGAACAAGAATATACATAAGTAAGAACTGTATTAAGTTAAAAGTGATATTGGCATTCTCTTCAAGCTGATTCACCATCTCCAAATGCTTATGACGTCTCAATTGCAAACAGGGTCAAATTTAAAACACTTCCAGCTTATTCAATACATCCACAACACAGAGGAAAGAGGCGACCAGGTATGAAAAAAATTAAGTCAAGAACTATTCATGTCCTTCTCTTTGTACATTGTAGTTTCTACTCCAGGCCCAGCTCATTACCATCCTCAAGCTAACTGCGTATTGAGACAGTATCCAGCCTTTTCATTTCGTACCAAAAACCAATAACCACCAAGATCTATAAATCAGAAATCACACACATAATGATAATAATCTCTCTAAACACATTTTTATAATGCTATCATAATCAATCATAAATAATTATTCTAAATAATAATAAGATGAAGTAATAGCAGAGAGAGAGAGAGAGAGGGAGAGAAAGAACAGACAAAGGAAGTTATGAATTCATGAGGATATGCATAGAAGAAGAGTCAAAAACATAAAATTGTTTAAATTCACTCGCAAATGACAGAGAGGGAGAGAGAGAGAGGTGACAAAGACTGAACGAACTAACAGTATATCAATAATAATTTAGAAGAATACATTGTCTTGTTATTCTTACGCTATGCAATAATAATAAATAGTTCTAGTCTATAAAGGTAAAATTGACTTCCTGAGCCCTTGGAAGTAAGGATGTTCCATGGCTCGTTTAGCTGATATCCTTTTACCAGGATTATATATGACCATTTGCTATGGAGAAAAAGAGAGAGAAATGAAGTTTTTTTCATCATTTTTTCCCATTACCATTAATAAATCGCAGCCAATCGAATCAAGATGAGGACACAATTGACTCAGAGATTTCCCGGTCCACTTTGGAAAAGTTGATTTGAAATTTGGCATTGTTGTTACGGACGGCCATATAGCGTCACTCGGGGTACCCAATATTCTAATTAAAGAGCACCAACAATGTAAGCACACACGTACAAACATGCAGCATAAACTCATACCTAAATATTCTGAAGAGTTGATCAATTTCGGAGTCGCCCTGAAAGAAAGGTTTCTTGTTTGACATTTCGGCAAATATACATCCAATACTCCAAATATCAAGAGGGCAAGAGTAGCGAGGACAACCTAGTAGGACTTCGGGGGCTCTGTACCACAAGGTAACAACCTAAAATTGAATATAGCAATGAAAAAATTTGACTGCTAGGCTTTAAAAATTTTGTTATCAGAATCCAACTTCATACATGTAGTTTAAAGTTTCTACGTAAGGACATGGATGTATCATCATTACAGTGTCATAAAATTTCTTTTGATATTAGATATATAGGTGTACATGTACATGTACATGATCCATAAGTGTCATGTAAATAAAAATTGTACATGTACATGCATAGGATAATGGGATATTTTATAGGATCATAGGTTGAGATTTCATTCATGTTCAATGTGAGACTAATTATCATCATTTTATAGATGAGGTAGAAGTGAGAAGTTTATATATGGTGAGAATGGATTAACATGATTATCATGTTGATGAACGTGATTATTAGTTAAACGATAAATATTAATTAAATGAATATCTGTTGATATTACACCTCTTGTTAATGATTCCATTTAAAAATGAATTTTTAAATTTCCTCAAAAATCGGATCAAAGTCCCTGTACATGGGGCTTTGAGGCAAATTTCGTCAAAATTGAAAAGGAGAGAATACCTCAATTTTATTTTATTTTCTGATGCATATACATGTACTTATGTTATGTAGAAAGTTTGAGCTTATTTCGATCAAAATTTGATTTTTTACAAATTTTTAAACGTACTCCATTTGACCTTGCTTGATATGCTTACTTTGCCCAACCCACTAATTACTCCACCCACATATTAACGAGATACTTACTTCGTGGGTGTAGGCTCTCACTGGAATACCAAAGGCTCGTCCGAGACCAAAATCTGCAATTTTAATTCCGCCATTATTATCAATGAGAAGATTCTGTGGCTTCAAGTCTCGATGAATGATCCTTCGACCGTGACAGAATACAATACCCTTTAGGATCTGATAAGTGTAACTCTAAGGGAGGGAAAAATACATCTAAAGCAGCTGCCAGTTAAAATTAGATTTAGGGTTACACATGAAGCTCCAAAAATACATTAGTTGATTGATAATGAAATATTTAGCAATATTTAATTAATTGACCACACCCAAACACAGCCCCTGCATGGGCGTGGCTTTATTTAAAAACGTGAAAACATCCTGTTATCCTTAAAAATGTACACATAACTGCTTACTTTTACTAGGTCTGGTTCCATGAATTTTCCAGCTGGTAGACTGTCGAGGTATTTCTTAAGGTCCATGCACATGAATTCAAATACGAGATACAGTTTTAAGTCTTGATGAATAATGTCCTCCAGCCTGTAAAAAATAAAAAATTTCAATAAATAAAACGATTGGACACGGTTCACATATTTCATATTAGCTAGAGGAATATTATTATTTTAAAATAAATAAATATTATAAATCCTTTACTTGACAACGTTTGTATGCTGGACTTCTTTCAAAATGCTGATCTCCCTAATGGCCGTACTGGGAACCCCCTCCTCCTCGTTCTCTAGTCTTATCTTCTTTAAAGCCACCGTCTTTCCAGTCACCTTGTGTCTGGCCTAAAGGGAAAGAAAGAAAAGTTGCATTGAAAATAACAAAACTCGGAAGTACTTTATAAACGACGCCATAAGTACCCTCTCCTATCTTTTCTAGCTTTGTGTAATCGTCCACGGACATTTTGGTGCTCTCTGTCTCTCTCTTTTTACAGATTTCTCCCGTCCAATCTCACTGGCTCTCTTTCTCTCTTCTTCAGTTCTCGCGCGCCCTTTGAATTTTGTATGTTCTACGCATGCGCAGTAGAAAACCTCAAACCCCAGTTATAACTACTGGTTATTGCTCAATTTTAATTTTAAATTTCAAAATGCCACTTTGCAAAAATTATTGTAGCCAACCCACAAATATACAGTCTTTGTAAAGTGCTTGACATTCAACTTGTGATAGTTTACTTTCGTAGCTAGAATAGCATATCTCAAGATCTTAAATCATCATTAAATTTTTATAAATAAGTATCATTATTATTATTATTATTATTTATTATTATATTGAATAGCACATTAAAGGAAGAGATTCAAGAGAAAGTGAAGTACAAGATGAGAGAAAGAGAGGATTAAGTTTTGATTAAAAAGGAACAAAGAACATCACGACAATCAGTACAATGACAATTATTAACACGACGATACAAATAAGTTGACACCGATCTGTATACATAAAAAAAGAGAAAAAACATAAAAATAATATTAAATTATAAAACTAACCGCTTGATTTCCTAATGGCCGTATTAACACGTTTCGTTAAAGACGTGAGTCTAGTTTCTGTTCTTTGCATGTCCTCATCAATCTCGTCTATCATTCTAATTAAAGCACAAGTCACATGATATTCACCGAAACTATAAAACCTACTTATTCTGTTCGTCTAACTCTATCCCAATATCCTCCCCCATCTGGTGCAAGACGACAATAGTGTTCGAGACTTTATCCACCTGCTTGTCTTGTTCGACCATTAGCATCTATTTTTAGTAACGATGACGTCATCAGTATCTGTTACTATTAATAACTCACTTGTTGCTGGTGTCTCTGTTGGTCTATAAAGTCTTGATTTGAGCGCTCAAGTTCATCGTCTAGTCTTTGGTAGCGACCATGTTTCTTTTTTTGAGCGTGACTAGAACTTAACAGTTGCTAAAGAGAGAAAGGGAGAGAAAGAGAGAGAGAGGGGGGAGAGAGAGAGAAGGAAATAAAAAGAGGGAAAGGCATGATAAATAATAAACTGATAAACCATACACAATCATCACTATTACAGTATGTGCAATCACTACAACTTGTTATGATTTCATTCACTAATGAATGACATCATTAGACCACATAATACAAATACTTATACATACAGGCACACATAGGCAGGCATTAGTGCATGTTATTATGGACTATTATCAGTTATACTAACAATACGTTAGTCAGAACAGACATGCTATGGTAATTATGTAATCTAGAACAATTACGTCACATTCTGACTCTATAGGAATCTATCCAGGAAGGATGGTTAATAACCAGGTTATTAACCAAAGGAAGGGAAGTATAGGTATTCATTGGTGTTGATGACACTGCAACTGCTGTGTTGTCATTTTAGTACTGATTACAACAAACTTCCCCTTCCTCTCTCTCTCTTCCCTTTTTTAGACTTACTTGTCTCTTCATGTTCTCCAACATGTTTTGTGCTTGATCACTGCTCATGTGACTTTTCATTTTCTAAAAAGAAATAGAGAGAGAGGGAGGGGGAGAGAAAGATAAAAAAGCAACCATGACAAACAATTAGCAACTAGCAAAAGCTTTTAAAAGAATATCAAAGAGTAGAGAAGTGATTGAAAGGGAGAAGTATTGAGAGAAACAGAAAACAGACAAAGTGAGTACATAGTACAACATAAGACACTACCACCACTATACTCAATAATAGTACACATAAATAAAATATTAATACTGTTATAATAGCCAATATATCACATACTACATACATAAAATACAGTGTTGCTTTCAGTCTATGTAATACAGTAAATTGTCTCATTGACTAATTATGGGAAGAATTAAGATGCACTTGTTTTAAGAGCAGATAAGGCATCCTGCAGACCAAATACAATTACTATTAGTAGTCAATAGTCTACACAAAAGGAGAGGAACAGTCAACATTATCAGGGACAAACATGTAACATATGGAGCGTGGCATGATTGATTGTGAGGAGAAGAGACAGAGAGGCACAGAGAGGCTATTGTTTTTAAGTACTAGAAGGTGAGGTAACCTCTGTATAGTGAGAAGTAATAAATGTTAGCTACAAGTACTGTATGATGGATGAAAGTTGATGAAAAAAATGTGTAGGATACTTTAAATTAACAAGAGAGAAAGAGAGAGGGAGGGAGAAAAAAGAAAGAGAGAAAAGGATTAATAAAAAAGGAGAGAGAGAGAGAGAGAGAGAGAGAGAGAGAGAGAGAGAGAGGGTGTAGTTTAGGGAGTGTATGCCATGCTAATATCTTTACTCTAACAAAGTCAAAACAGCTTGCACAGCCCACAACAAATACCTAGTGATCCTTTGAGGGCAAGCAATTAGTAAAAGCACACAAGTCATACAATGTACATATATGTACGTATTTATATTCACACGTACAGGTAGTATGATCACACAGATGCATGTGGATAGCAACTCTTTCATTTCATTCCCAGCAGATGTTCACACTCAGACACTCTTCAATTAGACAAATGGAACAACACTCTTGAATAACAGACCATGTACTGTACATGTACAGTGTATAATAAATGCTGTCTGTCTAGCTACAATTAGCTCCACTGGACTACTGATACAATGAATTACTAAAGAAAAAGTATTAGAGTACATGTACTAGTTACGAGATGATTAGAGTCTACATGTGCTCTATCTTTATAAAAAGACCTTTCTCTTAATATCTTTAACATATAAAATACATTCGTATATTCCCATTTCTTATTATTATTATGATATACATGTACATTATTATCAAGCAATAATGAATAACAAATCATTATTAATGACACTCTTTATGGGATACTGTACTACATGACATGCATAATAATGTCATTATAATGTGTACATGTTACATTGCTATGGGGAACATACGTTTATCACTTGTCTTGTGTCTCGGATGAATTGTTTACGAGTTTCTATCTCACCAGTGCTCACTCTAAACTTCTGGGGATTTGCTTCTACGACACCTTTTGAAAGAAAGAGAGAGACAGAAAGGAAAGAAAGAAGAGAGGGGGGGAGAGAGAGATGACATATTCCTTTTTCTCTTTTATTTACTTATTGTCTCGTCCAGGTCTTGTAGATCCCATTCAATGCTCTTGATACATGATCTTAGGTCGGTTGACACTCCTTGTGTCTTCTCTAAGTCGCTCTGGTCCTCTAGTAGCATGCACCAGCGACTGTACAAATCCTGGGCGTTATTGAGAGACTCTCTCACGTCGCTTTAGAAGATAAAGTGATTAACCAACCAGTTTTTAAGTTTCTTACTCTCTGACGGTGTAAAAAGGATCTTCTAGTGACATTGTAGGTTTCCCGAGTGATGTTAGGCCTCTTCCTAGTCTTAAACCAGCCCCAGTTAAAGAGGGAGAGAGGGAGGGAGAGTGTTTTATACAACTCGCCCTTTGATTTGATAAGGTTGCGGTCACTTGACTTGCAAATTTCACGCATCCCCCACCTACTTAATAACTAGCCACGCCCTGCTACTAACTTCCACCCACGCATTTTAAATCTTACATCCAGTCCCGCCCTTAGGCCTGGCCTTTGTGCAGCTAGCCACACCTCCCCCTTTCCACATACACATTGTGTGTACACTGTACAGTACATTGATTGAAATCAATGGCCTTTTTAGACTCGACTCTGGTAGAAGAGAACGGAGAGAAGAACGGCTTCTCCTCTCACCCTCCTCTAGGTAGATCCTGGACCCTTGACAGCCCCAGGCCGAGCAGAGAAGAACTTATAAAAATAGTTCGAAAAGCGGGCCTACCCACAAATTCAAACCAAGGACCATCCTACTCTGAGCCTTCTTCTCCACGGAAGATACTCCGCCGGATCAATAGTGATAGAAATAGCGAGTCTTCTGGTAGTTCTAGATCTAGTACGACCCTCACGTCAGATGATGAAGAGAAAGATGAGAGTCTTGCTATGCTAGAAGACATTGTTGCTAACAATAGAGGTCTTCCCTCTCTCCTCATCACTGATGACAACGCCCCTCAATCTGGAGAGTTCCGAGCTCGTTCCGGTAGTCGGTTCTATCACGAGAGTTTCACTGACGGCCCGTCCCAGGCTCCGGTAAAACCCGCCATGTTTATTCCATCATCTCGTAGTGCTCACCAGCTGGTACTACCTAACTACTCGGAGAAAAAGAAGAAAAGTCTCATAACGAGAATCAGGCGGACGATAAGAGGAAAGAAACCAAAAACGGTCGACAAGAAGTCGATTCGTCGCTGGGTCGATTACGAAGACGAGTTAGACCCAGTTAGCCGTCCATCTTATTTCCGTCACATTGGTCACGTTATTTCGGCCGGGCCCGGGAATATTAAGACCGTCCAACTAAACAAGCCCCCTCATGGGAAATTTGGTATATTTGTCGCTCAGGGCGTGGACCCTGCCCGCCCTCAAGAGAAAAAGAGTGTTTTTGTGTCTCGTTTTTATGAAGAAAATGCCTCAATGTTTTATGCTAGTCTACTTCGACCTGGCGATGAGATTTTAGCCATTAATGGAGTAGCAATAAGAGACAAGCCTCTTAGTGAAGTTATTGGATTGTTTGAAGGTTGTCAAACAGTCCAGCTGACAATTCTACCTTATACCGGACTGCCTTGTACACAGCTGTGAAGAAACAAGCTAAAATTAGATTTTATAAACTCACTTATGTATTATGAACTACTCTCTTCTCATTTTACATCTTTCTCCCTCCCCCTCTCTCTCTCTCTTTTTCTTTTCTCGTTTGTAAAGTTTGTTAACAAATCCTTGTACTTTCTTACAATATCAATTTTTGAAATTGTTACAACAATTATAAATAATCATTTCTGAGGAGTAAAAACAAGTCCACATTACATTACATCATTAATACTATGTGTATTATTATACAGTGGTTGTTCTGCATATGCCTGCATATAAATACCAGCATTATATTGCACAAGTGTTAAAAATAATAATAATAGTTACAGAGTGTGTGTGTGTGTGTGTGTTAAGATCATGTTATTGTTTTTCTTTCTGGACTGGATAGGCAGCTAATGTTGACGAAGCGAAGGCACCAGACACAGTGCCTCCTTTACTAATACAGCGAGCATAGGAGCCTAGTAACCCTCTAAAAATGGGAGAGAGAGAGAGAGAGAGAGAGAGAATTATGGTGACCGAAGATCATTTGGCCGTTTGGAGTGCAATATGTAGGTAGATACTCAAAGCTAAAATACTGTATCATATGCTAAGTATATAGAATATATTATTATTATTATTATTATGATTATGAAGATAGGGTTATAGGGAAAAGGAAGAGTAATATCAACAAAGATTTGTACTACAATAATACACAGATTATTATTATTATTATGTACATGTATGTATAGGTAAGAGTATATTCATAATGATTTGTAGATTATTATCAGCTAGTGTATATTGACTGACTTCAATTGCTGATAATGTTGCTTCTCTCTTGGATTATCAGGTGCTTCAATTTCATAAGATACTAATAATAGTTCTACATGATGCAATGATGGGAATGATTATAATTGATAGGTCATCGACTGGCTCATTAATTCTCTTACCATCATCAGTATGTATAGGAACAGTCATTAGGTAGTTCAGTAGTAGCCTCTTTCTCTCGTAGGGCAGCTGTGATAATTAATAATTAAGGACATGTATCAGGATAATTATGGCATAATTTTTTTTAATTTTGGAGTAGTTTTAAAATTATTTGTAAAAAAAACAATTATGCATGATCAAATTTAGCTCAAACTTTCTACACAGCATAAGTACATCAATATGTATCAGAAAATGTAATAAAAATTGGGGGTGATTTCGGAGCCATTTTTGGAAAAAACCATGGGCTAGCTATAGCCTTGGGTATTTTTCAGATTTTGGCTCATTTTTTAAAATGGCTGTAACTTGAAAAATTGAAGTCGGAATCACCTCAAACTTTCTACACAGCATAATTACATCAATATCTATCAAAAAATGTTATAAAAATTGGGGGTGATTTCGGAGCCATTTTTTGGAAAAAACCATGGGCTAGCTATAGCCTTGGGTATTTTTCAGATTTTGGCTCATTTTTTAAAATGGCTGTAACTTGAATAATTGAAGCCGGAATCAACTCAAACTTTCTACGTAGCATAATTACATTAATATCTAACAAAAAATGTTATAAAAATTGGGGGTAATTTTGGAGCCATTTTTTGGAAAAAACCATGGGCTATAGCCTTGGGTATTTTTCAGATTTTGACTCATTTTTTTAAATGGCCATAACTTGAATAATTGAAGTCGGAATCACTTTAAACTTTCTACACTGCATAATTACATTAATATCTATCAAAAAATGTAATAAAAATGGGGGGTGATTTTGGAGCCATTTTTTGGAAAAAACCATGGGCTATAGCCTTGGGTATTTTTCAGATTTTGACTCATTTTTTTAAATGGCCATAACTTGAATAATTGAAGTCGGAATCACTTCAAACTTTCTACACAGCATAATTATATTAATATCTATCAAAAAATGTAATAAAAATGGGGGGGTGATTTTGGAGCCATTTTTTGGAAAAAACCATGGGCTATAGCCTTGGGTATTTTTTAGATTTTGACTCATTTTTTTAAATGGCCATAACTTGAATAATTGAAGTCGGAATCACTTCAAACTTTCTACATAGCATAAGCACATCAATATGCATCAAAAAATGTTATAAAAAATTTGGGGTGATTTTAGAGCCATTATTTTATTGGGAAAAAACCATGGCCATGGTCAGAAAATGTAATAAAATTAAGGAGTTATCTCCTTTTTAATTTTGGTGAGAATTTCAACAGAATCCCTATACTAAAGTACAGGGTTATTGACCCGATTTTTTTAAGCAACATAAAAATCCACATATTTTTAAAACACTTTGCATCCTTGCATAACTTACAACAGTATCTCTCCATGTTAGTACTGGTAATACCAGCCTTGCAAGAGCCAAGCATTTCTATAAGAAATAGATAGCAATGAATCTTGCATTAACTCTATTATTATGCATGATAGGTGCTGCTAGTGTGGGTACAAGTACACAGTGCAAAATGAATACCTCAAATCTAATGAATCCGTTCGGTAGCCTATAAAGTAAAGGAATGAATTACATTGCAGAGTGTGGGGAATCAAGAGAAGAAGAGAGAGAGAGAGAATTCATGAATGAAGTGCATCGATTGCATTTCATTGCAAGGAAGATACTCACTTGTCGCTCATGCTTTCATTTTGAAAGTACAAGTCCTTTACTATGAGAGAGAAGAAAGGTACCACACAAGTGTTCATCTTCATTGTTCTTGCTGATATTGTAGCTCTCTCAAGTTTTGATCGATAGTTAGCAAAATTTCCACTAGGATCCAGCAATCGCTGCAATGATAAATTTAAAAAGACGTTTAAGATAAATATCAGATTTTAAATACTTTTATAATTATACCTCTAGCTCTTCTAATTTCTCAACGCTAAGTTTAGACCTCTATAATGAAAAATAAATAAATAAATAAAGGTAAAAGGTAGCGTAAGTTGTAATAGAATAATTAAGTATTCACAATGTGAAATCATTGGAATTACAATTACATTAAAAGACTCTTACCATCTTCTTCAGTCTCACAACAGGACTCATGTACAATCCAGCTAGAGAGAGAGAGAGAGAAGGAGTGAGGTTGCTTTGTCACTAAAAATTAACTTATTATTATTATCACTTACTTGCTATAGCCATGAAAGAGTTAAAGTTGTTCAATTTCTGACACTCGAGTGCAGTGTCTACAAAAAACTCCATCAGCCTGATTCTATTCCTCTCCTTGTCAGACTATTGATTAAGAATAGAGGGTAATCAATGAATACAATAGTCATTTATCATGACATAATGCTTTAGTAATTGGGTAATTAGAATAGGTTCAGTGAAGTGCAAAGTTTAATTATCAATAATGAGCTTGATATACCACACACAAGTAGAAGTATTGCAGCATTAGTGCAACTTAATGAAGTGTAATTGTATTTATAAATTAAATCTCTTACTACACATATTTCTGTTGCAACTAAATAGCTCAGCCTGTTAAACCACTCCACGTATGCCTCTATGTTGCTAGTCTTCTTCACATCCTAATAAAAAAATAAAGCATTTTTTCATAATAATATAAAATAATAATAAAGTAACTAACAGTGGAATCAGTGGGTGATTTAACAAATGTTTGAATGAACTCCTCTGGGCCAATGTTATTCAATCTTTCCTATAGTAATAATAAGAAAAGAGAAAAGAAGAATAACAATGAAATAAGCTTTGGTTTACAACACAAGTATTATGTATAAATTATGACAGGTTTCTTCCTTTAAGTATAGGTGCTACTAAAACATTGGTAGGATAAGTTAATGACTCACCAATTCAATGTGGGTTAGCTGTCTTGCAAGGTCTAGTGGTTCAGAACAAGTCCTCAGTATATCAACCTTAACAAAAGAAATGAAGGACAGATTGAAAGATATGTACATATGCATACCTGTGTTCTTGGGTCCATTAATCTCTGCATTGCAACTGAATTAACTTGCCCCAGTATGTGCTCATATTTATCCAAAGTAGAGAGTTTTTGTATAAGAGTAGACTGAAGTTGTCCAATTTCCCTTCTCTGTTCCTATGATATAGTAAAGATAGGATTAAGAGTGAGTCCTTGTTAGGCCAAAGCTCTTACTGGTAGATGTGTGGAGCAGAGTTGAGTCACATCTTTTAAGGCTCTCATCATTTTCTCGTCTCGGAAATCATACGGAAAAGTCTCGGTCCACTCTCGAATGAGCTGAATGAATCGAACAGGCGAAGCACTTGACTATATGTAAAATTAGGGAAAAATATTTCTTTAAATTAATAGTCTTCCTGATATAGCATAATATTTCTTTAAATTAAATCTGCATTACTCTTTTAAGTGATGAAGATCCAGCGGATGCTTGCTGTCTCATGACATGTTGGAATATCTGCCAAGAGTACATTATAACATTGCAATAAAAATGATAGCATCACTTACTCGAAATAATTTTCCTAGCAAATGGTGAGGTGAGACAAATAGCCTCGAGCATAGCAGGAAAGCAAAGACATAAGCTCTCTATATAAAATACCAAAAATAATAAATTTAAAAGTATAAATTTGAATACACATGCTGACCTCTGGATAATATGAAGTAGTTGGTATTAGTTGCTGTATAAGTCCTTCAAGAGAACCAGCTACTAATACACCATCACTGTACTGCAGCTCCTATTAGACACAAAATCCCATTTATTTCCAATTATTTACCATTTTTCATTATTACCTCAGCTAGTTGCTGTGTTGTGAAAACTAATGAAAGCTTGCTGTCTTCCAGCGGAACTGAGCGACGATTCTCCTCAACGATTTTCTGATACTATTAAAATGGTTTAAATTAGTTTGCAGCTGTCACTGGCATACTTCAGTGACTTTCGTTTCAACAAGCGCTTCCTTGGATACGACATGATCAAATACTGACGGCTAAGGAGAGGCAGAAAAAGAGGATAAAACATGACAATAAATTGCATGAACTTACTCTTCTTTTAGGTGTCTGCTTCATTCCAATAGCAGGCAAACTTCGAGATATCTACAAAAATAGTGCAACTATATCAGTTCAAGTGACATGTCTCTATACCTTGAGATTCCTTTTATGCCTGACTCCCATTGTCTGCATCTCTTGTAGGAGTCTCTGATATTGTGACCGTATTCTCCTAATGGGATATTTATACATGCATATCTAGGGCATTTTAAAACAAGCTCACAGTAATGTATTTTCCTGCATCTCCAGCTCCTTGCTCTGCAATATGAATGAAAGGTTATGTAGATCTATTAGGAGCAAGATGGCTTTCGCTAACCTTTGTCGAAACGTCTTCTTTGCTGTGTCTGCATACATCTATCTCTGCCTTGAGGAGCTTTAGCTTTTGTTCTTCTGCATCAAGTAGCCTCTCTGTCACCTAATAGGGAGCTGGCTTAACGCCCACTCACAATACAAAAACAGGCATTACCTCGACTTGTATATTAAGTACGTCCCTCAGTTTGTTCTGGGGTCCTCTTCCAGACTCTCCAGAAGCCATTTACAAAACTCTTTCAGTTCTCTTTCTCTCAAAAAGCTTGCAAACAAGGGCGGGGTGCGTCCTTTCACTAATCATGTATGCATATGCAAAACAAAAGAGGGTGTGGCTCATTAATAATCTATAGATTCATTAGCAGCACTCGACAGCTACACCCAAGAAGGTGTTAGATAGAAAAGTGAGAAAGAAAGAAGCTACTAAATATGGCCGAGCAGTGCTGTTACTACGAGGCACTGAGAAAGCAGAGGATACTGGATAGAGCTTACGAAGCAAAATGCAGGATGCTGAGTGCACAAGAGAAGCAGGTAGTCAAATAGATAAACAGATTGACATTTATGGGATAGTATGTATTTGTTTACTTCCTCTATACTATTTCTGCATGTACTGGATCTGGCTGCTTTGGCAATAGATAATAATAATTATTATTTACATTTTACTTCCTGTATAGGCTGGCTTTGTTGACAAAGCAGTTCAAGCTGACGAGGCTGCAGCTCTCAAAGCCACCCAGAGCAGCAGCAAGACGGAGAGCAAACGTAAGAAACGTGCAGAAGCAAAGATTTGTGCTGTCCGGAAAGACTTACACAAGTACAAATACGATGCATTTATATCCTGTATATTAGTTAAGATACTTTTCTTGGCTCTGAATGACATTTCACGATCTTGTTCTATATTTTCCGTGTAGGCAAGAGATGGTGCTTCGAGATAGTAACTTAGTCATGGGGTACGTCTCTCCAAAGCACGAACTGAGCCTCCGAGAACCACAAAAGACCAAACATTGAAGAAAAATTCTAGTATTTAAGAAATGCCTAGCAACCTTGGCAGGGACTCTAATTTGTGTATTGCAAACAGTAATTATGCAAAATTATGCAATATTATTGTTTTTCAATGTTTTCCCTTCACCTTTCCTAAAGCGGCCATTATTGCATAGAGTTCAATGACATTATTAGGCATACATGCGACATCACTAATTTAATATTTAATCTTGGAGGCAGACTGCATGTCTATGCTTGTGAAAAGCAGCCAATTACTTAGCCCAGTAATTGAATTGTGTGAATTTGTCTCAAGTAGTTTTGCTGCTCTGTAATTATGTAACAGAAAAATAAACTAAATTTGCAATTCTTGCAGCATCATGATGTCTTTATAATAAACCCACGTCATTGAATAATTAATTTCCTTGGAGAAGAGGCGGAGCGAGAGAGGTGTATAAAAAGGTTCCCAGTAACTTGTTGGGCAAAATATCTCCAAAAACAGAAAATGAAGCAAGCGCTAACCTTAGCCATCGTCCTGTTGGTCTGTCCACTCGTCTTTTCAAAGAGCCAAGAGGTCTTCCATCCAAGTTGTAGTTGGGTGACACACAAGATGACATTCTATAAGGAAATCCAGGGCCACAATTGCTCGAGCGAACCAATCGACGTGTTCAAGTGTACAGGGATGTGTGCCTCTAATATCAACCCGAGGGTGATCGACCGCAAGTAAGCCTCTCTCTCTCTCTCTTTGATTAAATAAGCCTCCATCATCCCAAAGCTTATACCTCTGTGTGATATTAATTAAGCCAATTATGTTTATTATTAAAGCACTTCTCTCTCTCTCCTTTTAGGCCTCCTCCTGACCAGACCAGCTATAAGCATCTCTTTTCCCAAAACTGCCAATGCTGTCAGCCTGACCAAGACAACTACATTCAAAATAAGTCCATTCTTTATTACTGTGTCCTCCCAAATGGCGAGAAGTACTCAACTCCGGCGATGACAATGATTGCAAACCCGACCAAATGTGCATGCCAACCTTGTTAAACGGACGGACGGAGGGGGACAGCGGTATGTGGGTTGTCGTGGTAACAGAGTACAATCTCGTCTCTTATTCCATATAATAAACTTGTAATTTAATAAGTAAATATTAATTATTATTTGTTGTAATAATAATCATTATATTATAGTTGACGTGTTTATTTTCTTCTTTCTCTCTTTAAATTTTGTTGACAATTTTCTCTTCTCCAAAAAAAATAACTTTTTAAATTGTTTTTGTGTCATTCAAACCTCATTTCTCTCCCAAGTTTCAATCAATCATTATTATATTATCATTATTATTATTTCATTATTATTATTATAATTATAATTATTATTACAAAAAGTGAATAACAGCAACACAAAGAGAGAGAGAGAGAGAAAGTTTTAAAGGACTCCTTTCTCTTTTGCTACTGATACAAATGCATCAACACATTTGTCAATGTCTTCTTTATTGTGGACAGCGGATAATTGAACTCTAATTCTGGCTTCACCTGAGAGAGAGAGAGAGAGAGGGAGGGAGGGAGAGAGAGGGAGGGAAAGAGAGAGGGAGAGAGAGAGGGAGGGAGGGAGAGGGAGAGAGGGAGGGAGGGAGAGAGAGGGGGGGAGGGAGAGAGAGAGAGAGAGGGAGGGCATTCCACGAGACATAAAACATAAATGTTCATATTATTGCTATGTGAAATGTCTAATCTAATTACATGCGATACAAATTATTTCCGTCTTTTCTTACCGACAGGTACTACAGGGTACGAAAAACCTATCACATAAATACCCTTCTCTACGAAACGAAAAAAAAAAAACAAAAACAATAACAATAACACCGAAATGAGAACTAACGGAGCATCCGATCGGCAAACTCAGTCGCTAGTCGAGCATCATTCAGCATCACAGGAACAATAGGGTGACAGTCATCGCCCTAAGAAGAGGATAACGATTATTAGTAGACCCAAAACAATAATAAAATAAATATACATGTACATACACAACCGTATGGAGGAGAAAAACTGAAGAAAACACGTCATACAAAACATACATGTACATGGATAATGTAATGAATAATATGAATTGTGTACAAATACTGATAATATATGCATGAATGGATAATACATAAAAATGTACATGTTGATATGCTTTACATGTACATGTACATACATGTACATGTACATACATGTACATGTATGCGTGTGTGAAAGATTACGTAGATATATATGAACTAAAGTGAATGCTTGGCATACTGTAGCTGGGTGTGTGTCTGCTGTGGTGCATGCAGAAACCAACCAAGCTATCCCTCAGTCAATCAATATTTACCCAACTAATGAAGGTTAATAGACCACACAGTTTAATTAGAGACAGACACATATCAATGCTTTATATCAATAGAGACTATTAGGGTGAAATATTATACCCATTGTGCAATGGAGGAAGAGAGAGAGAGAGAGGGGGGGGGGATAGAGAGGGTGAGGAGGGTACCTTGAGATTAAAACCAGCTGATGTCATTTTCCCTCTAAAATAAGAAGTGTTCCATTGTAGTTTTTCAACAAGCTCTGACCCGTCCATTAACAAATCAAACACCTTTAAAAATACCAGTAATATTTAGTACAATTACAACACAAATAATAAAGAAATGTAGCCTCTATATAATGGACACTGTGTCTCTGTTATACAGAGGTGTCCTTTATGTGGAGGTTATTTTATACAGTAAGGAATGTAATTGGTACACTAGGTGCTGTCCGTTAAATGGAGGTGTACGCTATAGAGAGTGTCCATTAAGAGAGGCTACACTATACATACATAAATATCTTCTTCACATTACTTTGCTAGCGCAGGCTACCACAGGAGGTGGGAGGGTGTTAGAGAACAGATAAGGTCTTGATTTCTGTCTTAACATGTCAATAACTTCCCTTGGGCCAACAGTATACCCACCTGCAAACACGAATGATCCGATATTAATTATTTAAGGGTGTGGTTTTACCTGCGGCTCCGCCCAAAGCTTTGCCGAGCGTAGAATTTATAATATCAACTCTGCCTTCACACGAGAGGTGCTCCTCTGTCCCTCTGGAGGGGGAGAGGGAAAGAATTAATGGAAACAGTAAACTAATTATACTTGAATCATACAACTATCTTTAATGTTTTGTGTAATGTAATCTATCAACATCACCTCCCTCTCTCTCCCTCCCTCTGTCTCTCTGTCTCTGTCTCTCCCTCCCTCCCTCTCTCTCTCTCATTACCTTCCTCCTTTCCCCATGAAACCAGTCGCATGACATTCATCAACGAATACCAAAGCTCCATACTTGTCCCCGAGATCACAAAGTTCCCTATAATTCACATAGACATGCACATTCAACAATATACCATATTTCATTACACACTATAGTCATCACCAGTCATTTAAGTCAAGTGTTAATTAGAGGCTCATTAAAGTGATAAGTGCTTCATAAATACATATCTCCTTACCAAATTATGTACATGTACATACATGTACATGTACATGCTGCAACTTGTACATTAAATAGTGAGTGTGTTATGTAGGGAAGCATGCTTTGTAGGTGTGCATGTACATGAGCATGTATATACAATTAACTATTGGGTATAATAATAATGTGATTTACTACTACTCTGTCTGCCTTACTGTCTCTATAACCCTCCCCTCCCTCTCTCTCTCTCTCTCATTGTCACTTCTTCCATTCATTGACAGTCCCTTTCATAATGAAGCCTTTCACTCCCTCTCCTTCATTAAATTTGTGTTCAGTCTCTACATGTACAGTATATCCTCTCTTAATGGACACTCTCTATAGCGTACACTTCCATTTAACGGACAGCGCCTAGTGTACCAATTACATTCCTTACTGTATAAAATAACCTCCACATAAAGGACACCTCTGTATAACAGAGACACTTTCAAAGTGTCCATTATAAAGAGGCTAGTCTGTATTACTTTGATCAAGTTTACCCTCTCCCTCTCCCTCCCTCCCTCTCCCTCTCCCTCTCCACTCACTTGAGAGGTGCTACTACCCCATCCATACTAAAGACTCCATCAGTTACAATCATCTTGAGTCTAGCTGTGTCACCAACCTCAGACAACTGCTCTTCTAACTGAGTAACATCTGAGAAGAGAGAGAGGGAGAGAGAGAGAGAGAGAGAGAGAGAGAGAAGGGAGAGAGAGAGGGAGGGAAGGAGAGGTAGAGAGAGGGAGGGAGAGAAGCAGCAGCATTAAAGTAGTGTAGGGAGGAGAAGGGAGTGTTGAGAAAGGCAGGGTACAGTACAGTAGTATCAATACACAGTGAGGAGTGTAGTTACAGTACATGATGTGTGGGTATGATTCTAGTCACAGCTCTGTAGATGTGAGTAGTGCCACTACTGCTTGTAATTATAAACACTGAGACTAAGTTAGTGGCTGTATAATTACTATATAACAATGACAAATTTCTTCCTTTATAATATTGAATGGGGGCTTGTATAAGAGAATATTATAAAGACATTAATGACAATCTCTTTGCATCATCCTCTCTCCATCCTCTTCACTTACATGTACATTATAAATATCAAAAGATTCTCACTAAAGTACATATGCCCCAGGGAATAGCAAAGGTCATATAAAAGCATCCACATTGACAGAATGTGTACATGTACATGTACATATGTCTGCTGCAGACAGTAGTTCAGTTTAGTCTAGAAGATCTTCTTACCACACACGGTGGCAGACAACACTCCAGACTATATATTCAGTATACTAACCTGATTGAACTAGTCATTATTATTATACATGTGCATATGTTGACCCCATTCTACAACATAGCAATGTAATTAACCTGTTATTATTATTGATATAAATGCAAGCTACACAAGTATTGATCTAATAGTCATTGGAGCACAGCCTGTGCTACAACCATCACGTGTGTTGTTATTGAAGGAGCAGGCATATGCCTGTCGTCGTGAGATCACTTGTTAACATACTTTAGCGTACAAATATGGAGTCATTAGTTGATCTGTACCACTGCTCATTAGCTAATGTGACAATTTTGAAGTCGATCACACGCACACGCACACGCATGCACACAGACACACACGCACAGCGGTACTCCTTCAGTACACTTGCTTGCTACCACTTCTAAATTCTCAATCTTTTATAATTTGTCTTAGCCTTCTCTCTCTTCTCCCCCTCTCTCTCTCATTTTCTTTTTTGCCCTAAACCCTTAATGTGTCCTTATCAATATGTCTTCTTCTATTCATCACTCAACACAAAGAGACGCCTTCAAAGAAACTTCACTAGAACATCAAACCTTTAAAAACTCAGTACAAACTTGATTAACCACCTGCTAGCAAAAGCCTGAGGTTTTGCCAAACCCACAAACCCATACGCTTCAGGCAAAACTAAAATACAATAAAATATAAATCATTAACGAGAGAATGGTCACCAAACCATGAACATATGTCACACTTTGAATAATAAGAAACAGCTGGAGCTGGGGGGGGAGAAAAGGATGTAGTGCATATGTACCTGTACAATGGCACGTGTGACCCTGTTTAGATATTATGATTGCAGCTGCACCTTAGGAAGTATAAATGGTTTTAAATTCGTCTGAAATTACATCAATAAAATGAGCATACACTTACATATATATATAAGTATATTTGCATCCATTATCAATATTAATGTAAGCAATAAAGCTACTATCATGTAGCACTAATGAACATCACATAATATATACGTGTATAGACAAAAATTGTACGCATACATGTACATGGCATATGTAGACGTAGTATATCCAATCGTCTGCTAATGACTGGTTGTCATGGTCACAGTGTTTACTTACCCAATAAAGTCAGGGTGGCTTTGGGAGTCATGGATATTAATTGAAAAATAAACGATACTACTACACAGATACACACCTGTCTGTATAGTGGTTGGATAGATTTAATGGAAAGAAGCAAATCAAGGACATTAATACTTAAAGATATCTAATACAGTGTAGCCTCTCTTAAGGGACACTCTCTATAGCGTACACCTCCATTTAACGGACAGCACCTAGTGTACCAATTACATTCCTTACTGTATAAAATAACCTCCACATAAAGGACACTTCTGTATAACAGAGACACTTTCAAAGTGTCCATTATATAGAGGCTAGTCTGTACATATAATCACAGACAGCTATCACTACATGAAGAATAGAGGTATCCAATAGTCCTACTACAACAGCTCAGCCTAACGTGGAAGGAATGACTTTGATCTGAAAATAAGTATGTTATAGCTAATAATCCAAGAGGTCAACTATGAGTTCAGAATTATAATATAATAATGATGACAATCCAAAGCTTATTGATCAGTGAATAGATGGAGCCGTTTGTCTAGACCGTACGGTTATAGTTTATGATTGCGGACGTGAGGGAGAGAGGGAGGGAGAGAGAGTTTTAGTGTTTTTAATTATTTCATGATTGGAGGCTAAAATGGTAGGAAATATTTTGATGACTTCCGCCACTCCTAATCCATTTTAAAATATATGTACATATAATCTCTCTCTCTCCCCCTCTCTCTTTCTTTCTTAATTTTAAACTATTACGTCATAAAATTCCTCTACATGTAACAGCCGCTAAGAATGCGTACAAATACATGTACATGTACATGTACGTGACAGTCGGAGACGAGCAGGTGGTCGCAAACAATAAAAAAAACGAAAACAGTTCCAAACAATACTCCTCCACTTAATTAAAGTGAGTGACTGTTCACATTACGACCGTCACACAAAGACACGTCTCTAGGAAACCACAGAACTGAGGGCATAGAGAAACAGTCTGTGATCTATTTTCTGTTGCTGATGAGTATAATTAGATCAATAATCATTAATATATTGAATTAATTTATCAATGGGGAGAACTATAGAATCAGAAAGCTACAAAATGTGGGCACAAAATAGGAACACATGTCATGTACTGATTAAGATACTACATGCATGACATAATAGAGACTTATCATTGTACAAGTACATGTACACAGACAACAGTGATATTACATCTGACTGATAATATACTACATATCTTCATGAACCTACTACATATATACAATGTACATGTACTCCTGTAGTGATTGTGAATTTATGTATGACTACTGTATGTTAAATTTCTTTATTATGAAAATATTTTAAACTTGTACCTCTGTTTTTGTATCTGTACTTTCGGGCCTTGCATAGTCTAAGGCCGTCAATGATTGAAGCATGGTTTAGCTGGTCACTAAACACGGCATCATTCTCACCTAATAGTGCCTCAAATATACCTGAGAGAGAGGGGGGGAGAGAGAGGGAGGGAGGGAGGGAGGGAGAGAGAGAGGGAGGGAGAGAGAGAGAGAGAGAGAGAGAGAGAGAGAGAGAGAGAGAGAGAGAGAGAGAGAGAGAGAGGGGGGGAGAGAGAGGGAGGGAGAGAGAGGGAGGGAGAGAGAGAGGGAAGGAGAGGTAGGGAGGGAGAGAGAGAGAGGGAGAGAGAGAGAGGGAGGGAGAGAGAGAGAGAGAGAGAGAGAGAGAGAGAAGGGGGGAGAGAGAGTATTAATAGAGAAACAGAAAGTACATGACATGCACCTGCGTTGGCATCGAAGCAAGCAGCATACAGTATTGCATCATCGCGATTGTGAAACTTGGCTATTTTCTGTTCTAATTCCTTGTGTATTGTCTAGCGGAGGAGAGAGAGATGTTGTCACCATTCACCAGCATAAACACATACACCCACACAAACACAGACATTCTTAAAGTAGCAACGAAATACCTTATAGTTACTGAAAAATGTAATGTACATATGGAGTGATCAAAATTTGACAAGGGTATTTTGTCAAAAATCGCTAATAAAGAATTTTCCATTTTAATTTTTTTTCTGATGCATATACATGTTCTTATGTTGCATAGAAAGTTTGAGCTGATTCCGATCAAAATTAGATTTTTTACGAATTTTTAAAGTTGCTCCAAAATCAGGTCAAAGTCCTTGAGACACAGACCAAAAGTCTCCTAAACTCCCTCTAGATCTACCAGGACTTCTACTCATGGTTTAGATTAGGGAATGCCCACTTGTACTAGTAGTCTAGTACCAGGAGTAGATTATCTACTCTTGGTAGTACTAAGCAGCAGCTTATACTGATCCTTTTGGAAAGACCAAAGGAAGTGAGAGGAAACCTCTAGAGGAAAGTGTGGTCATCATTACACAGAAACTCAAGACGTCATCCAGGATATTAAAAGTGGCCAGGTGTGTGTGAAAGAGGGATAATAGACAGGTGGTACAGCTGAAACTTAATACTCTAAACATTGGGTCAGCTCCAGAAATGCAAATAAAATTCATTAAAATCACCATGTAAAACATTAAAGCAAGCAAAGCAAAAGTAGATGTACCACAGAAAACAAGCTTGTGGCTTCTTCATCATAATGAGCTCAGGCTTGATCCAATTAATGAACTAAAAGCTTCTATCCACAACTACATGTACATGTACATGTACATGTACATGTAGAGGTCAGAGGTGACGATAAGGGTCATTGGTCGCTGGTCACTGGTCGCTGGACTACAGGAATTAGAATTAACATATACAATGTAGTGAATCTGACAATAAAGGATTCTGGAGTGCTCATTAATTGGAAATAAATGTGCAGCTGTCATGGAGACAGTCGTATGAATGATCAAGGCGAAGAATCTAATTTGAAATCAAATATAAAATAATACAATTAGGCTTTCAATTTTGTATAATTAAATAATAATAATAACAACATGTATATTGTTCGGGATCCACATACATAATTTACTTGGAAGAAATTCTCAGACAAAACCAAAGAAGTAAAGGCATACAATTTCAAAGAATTATTAAATTTATTACGTCTCAAATCAAGTTTGGCGGGTCATTGAGGAGGACAGTCGCTGTATAGACCGACCATACAGTACAAAAACAAATGCCACTTCTAATTAAAGAGCACTTCGATTACGTGACAGCAACAGAAAGTATACAGAGTCATTTAAAAATGACGTGTCACATTTAAAGGGAAACTTTGTAACTATAAAAAGCAAACAGACTAATATTGAAAATAAATATTACAATTATGACTATTATTCACTGATGCGTCAATAACTACATGTACATGTACATGTATATATATTATTAATACATTTATGTACGATTGGGGTTTGCTTGTGGAAATTATTACAGTTCTAATTAAAGGGATTTTACCGAGCTCGGTTCTGCTAAGACTGGGACGGATGATGTAGAGATTACGTAATCAAAAACAGTTATTTGTTGGTTATTAACAGTTATTAATAGTTATTGATGTTAATATGAGGGTATAGGATGGCACGTAGGTGACAAGATAAGCTGTCAAAAATAAATAATAAACAAAATAATAAACAAAATAATAATCAATAAACATTGAAATTAAAAATAAAAAAGTATAACGTACATATACATGTACATGTACATGTACATGTACATGTACATGAATATAATATCAGGGTTTCCCACAAAGCATGCTAAGTGAGCTAAACAGCATGAGCTTCATGAGCTGACAAGCACTACAATACAGTACATGGCATTTGGAGCAACTTTAAAAATTCGTAAAAAATCCAATTTCGATCGGAGTCAGCTCAAACTTTCTATGCAACATAAGTACGTGTATATGCATCAGAAAATGTAATAAAAATGGAGAATTCTCTACTTTTCGTTTTTGGCAAATTTTGGCTAACATCCCTGTACTATAGTATAGGGACTTTTACCCGATTTTGGAGCAACTTTAAAAATTCGTAAAAAATCCAATTTCGATCGGAATCAGCTCAAACTTTCTACACAACATAAGAACATGTATATGTATCAAGAAATGTAATAAAAATGAAGAATTCTCTACTTTTCAATTTTGCCAAAATTTAGCCCGAGACCCAGTACTAAGTGTCTGTACATTATTATTACCTGTGTTCCACAAATGAATCTCACAGAGCTAAGCCCCGCCCCATAATCTCTCAGCGCAATCCTCCCAGCTTCAATAACATCAGGGTGTGACTAAAAATAAAACAAATACATTTAAAAGTATTTTTAAATGAGGAGGCGTGGCTTTGATTAATTAAAGTGGGTGTGGCTTAGATTAATTGAAATGGGTGTGGCTTCATGCATAATTTTATCATTTAAAAATGCTCATTTCTTTACTGATAATCCAAGGTAGTTGTTTGCGCAGAAGTTAAGCAGTTCTCCTCCTCCTGCTCCTCCGCCCACTACTCTGATGGATGCAGCCTGAGGCGTTGAGATGACTCTCTCTGATTTCCACGTCCCAGCCTTAGAAATGGCATCAAGTCCTTCCTGAAGAACTCCTCTAGCTGATTTAGACCAGGTTGAGGTAAAACGGGGCAGGCAGAGAGAGCCTCTTGATTTTATAAAGGAAGAGGCGACGGCAGCCATTTTGCTCATTAAAATTTAGATAGGCGTGGTTTTTGGGACTTGGGTGTGGTTAGTCACGTGATACTTCTTACACCACAACAACTCAATGAGTAGATAGTACAGGGGAAGAGACAAAGTAAAGATGCCTAAAGGTAAAGGAAAGAAGAAACAGAAGGAAAAGACAACAGATGGTGAGTAGAAGCACAATAAGACACAAAAGTATACAATACTGAACAATAGAACCAGTAGTTATACATGTGCATGTACCACAGACCAAAGATATGTGTGTCCATTATGGCTTCACTGTGTTTTTAGATGGAGCTGGGTCTGGTGCTGTTTTAATGTTCTCAGGTCCCTCACAGATTGTTGATGATACCGACAGTATCTGTAGTTCGATTCCTGACAGCGTTCTAAGTGATGAAAGTAAGGATATTATGTATTTAATATAATTAATGTCCTGTGGGTGTGTTCTAATAATTGGTGGGTGTGGTTTATCCATAGTTGTTTCGGAAGGTTTTGATGACTCAGCAGATAGTTCTAGCGATACTGAGCTTCAGTTTCAAGTTTCGGAGGCTTTGGATAATCTTGCAGATAAGAAGTAAGATAAGAACCACACCCATAACCACACCTTTATTGACTCCGCCCACATTAGTTCGAGGACGAGAATGGCCGCTTTGAATTACTTAAACGATAAACTGAAACACAAGATGGTGGGGCAATACATAGTTGGAAGGTAGAGAATATATTCAGTATGAATGTGTACATGTACATTTAGTACTAGTGTAATTGATATTATATATACATCCCATTTTTTTACTACAATTTTGCAGAAGTACATTTAATTTTATTAGATAATACTTTAAAAACTACATTAAAATCGTTAATTATTATTAGCTAAAAGTTAAAATTAGTCGAGTCAAACCTCCAAATGCAATCCAGGATATGTCAAAGTTGATGCACACACAATTAAAGCTATATTCTCTCCCTTTTTCTTTCTTCCATTTCTTCGTAGAACTGAGACTCTAATTGATACTTTGGTGCGAGGAATCAAGAGATCACAAGGAGGAGAAAGGAAGGAGCTGTTGCTCTTGGCTTCTCTCTTTCCACTTCAATTCGGTGAAGATTGTGCTGACATTACTTCACTGCTACTGTCAGTCCTAGTGCCTATCATAATGGATAACTCTGTTAGCCCGCCAGAGAGGAGTATGGTAAGTTTTGTTGTATTTTTTACTTGTTATGCAATAGAATTAAATGATGTAATGTCTACCTATGTTGTGTAGGAAGTTTGAGCTAATTTGTTTGCTGTATTGCCATTAAATTAATTCTTTTAATTGTCACCGTGACGTTGTTTATAATTGAATTTGATGACGTAGTGTTGTTACTATGACATTCCGTTTAATTGGATTTTGTAGTATCGTATTACTATACCTTTTGTGGCATTGCTGTAACCATCATGATGCTATTAGGATGTACGTGTTTGTTATAAAAGATTGGGGGAGGAGGGGTATTGTTGATGGCTGAAGATTATAATGATATGGATTTAGTTTTTTAATTTTTGCACATGTACATGTACTGATTCTCTTTATTAATTGTCTCTATCTCTGTCTCTCTCTGTCTCTCTGTTTAGGCTATATCAACACTCACTCTGTGTACATTTCTGCTCTGTCATGACATGAAAGTATTGAATGACTAAATATTGTGTCTGTCACATTCACCTCTCTCCCCCTCTCTCTTCCTCTGTCTCTCCCCCTCTCTCCCCTCCCCCTTTCCCCCCCTCTCTCTCATACAGCTAGTAGAGGATATTATGCACCATTGTGAGAGCTTGTGTAGCTCATGTAAGATTGATCTCATTGTGTCAGCTGCCATTAAAGGATGGTCACTCCTCCTTTCTATTTTACCTATTCACATGATACCCGCCATTTTAACCAGGTATGCATTAGTATTAATATTAATATTATTTTTATTTTTATTATTATTATTAATTTATAGGCAAACTCCAATATTAACTAAAGTGTTGGAATCAGCTTCCGATCTGTCACTAAAAATATCGTCAGGCCAAGCTCTCTCTCTCCTTTTTGAACTGACAAGAGAATGCAATGAAGACGTGAGTTTTAATTAATTAATTAATAATAATGGGTGGGGCCAAGGTAGGAGTGGTCTTAAAATGGGTGTGGTTTAGTTGCTAGAGTGTGAAGAGGCGGAAGTCGCCTGTGCTGTTGTTCAGAGTCTTGCCAGTGAGAGTAACCGTTACTCCGGCAGAAAAGAAAGAACCCAGCAAAGAGCCTCCTTCAGGGATTTCTCTCAAGCCATAGAGGTGAGGGTTGAGTTGTAGGTGTGGTTAGTAGGTGTGGTTTTGTAGAGTGGCTACGTACCGGAAAGAAGCATAAAGTTTGGATCGGAATCGTTACAATTGGACTCTTGGGCAAGGTGAGTTGACCATGCCCATGACCACACCTACTAATAATTAATCCTAACAGGTTGATACAGTACAATGTACTGACTGAGTTACTGGCTACCGGCTGTAGGACACACCTCATGGTAATTTTAACCCTTTGTCAACTACGTTAATTGTGCTTTAATTAGAATAATGGACTGGTTCGTGATATATTTCAACTGGGGCCTCCCGTTTTACCTTATTTGGAAACTAAAGCAACTAAAATTGAGAGAGTAAGTTCATATTTTTTGTATATTTTTAAACGTCTTTTCTCAATTACTGCAGAAGCTCATAAATGCTGCATCAGCAAAATGGCGTTCTCAGGCCAGAGGCAAACAAAGGGACAAGAGATGTGTATTATAATTAATTAATTAATTATTAATTAGTTTTAATTATTATTATTTATCCTGTAAATGATTAAATTTTATCATTGTTATTATTATTTTATTAAGTCTATTTATGCTACGTAAATGAATTATTATTCTTTAATTTTTATTATTATTTATTTCATGTAAATCTATTTAAAATAATACTTAGCTATGTTAGCAGCATTTATTCAGTTGTGTCTCATGATGTTCATGTACAGTGTAGCCTCTTTATTACATCTTATGCACACCGGTACTTCTTATTAGTTATTAGATCTGATTGACGATGAAGCTGTTGCTAAATCAGTTTCTGTAGCATGCAGTTAGATTATATACGCGTTTTAGCTATTCTTTTATACTTTTATTTCTTATCTCTAATTCCTGGGATTGGTTTTAGACTAGCTATAGCTCGAGCTATTGCATAAAAGACTAAAAAGCTAAGATACCCTTGGGCTCGACCTTGAGGATCACTTAAGAGGATCACTTGGAGTCCTGACCAATCAGATTAGTCCACGCGTGACGTCATAACGACGTCAACATGAAAAGGGCAGGCCCAAACCGATCCGATCCGAGGCTATATAAAAGGAGCTGCACTTCCTGTTCCGGTAATTTTTTCTCAGTTTTTCGGCGCCAAAAGGTCAAGGTCTCTCTGGGCCACGTTCCCCAACTTTTCATGGCGGCTATGGTTATTTGTACCTGGATCTATCTCTCTGTCTCTCCCTTCATTCTCTCTCTCCTTACTACTCTTCTTTCCCCTAGTGTTTGTCAATTATCTTTCTCTTTTTTTAAAGGTCACCTCTCCTGGCTACAACACTTCTTTCTAGCTGCCCTTCACTCCTATAATGGCTCCTGTGGTTCATTAAAACCTCTATCTAAACTCAATGGGTAAGAAAACCTTATCCTATGTACATGTGCTCATCTTTTCTCCATTTTAGGTGACCTCACATGTTCAAAGTTCCCGCCATTTTGTGACTCCAATTAATGCGCGCCGCCCGTTTTAGAAACTTGGGAGACCCTTTAGTCCATACCACACTGTCACAACACTACAGAGAAGTGAGTTCCTCTGTTCCTCCTACTTGTTAACATTTCATGTCCTTTTGTTATTATTAGGAGAGACGCGTTGTCTGGAACATGATGTTGTGCTCTGTTGGGTACTTTGGGCTCCTGAACTTTGATGTACTATATTTGGCTCCTTATGGCTCGTGAACTGACGTACTCGTTCTGTGTCTTTATGGTTTGTCTCATTTTGGAGTTTGGAGGTCTTATACATGTACTAATAGTCTTGCTATGCCATCACGGCGAGACTATACGCACCACCTCATGCCTCCCCTTGCATGTTCATATTGTCTGTTTCTCTCTCTCTTTCAATAGCTTTGCGTCAGGTAGGAAATCACGCGATGCTTCATGTACATATTGTCCCTATGTAAAGACTGGGTTAGAACTTAGACTTTGCTCTTTGTGTGCCTTGTGTTGTGACCGGAGGTGCTGTGTGAGCTTGTGGTAATGTACGTCTTAACGTAAATACCATTAGTTCATACAGCACCTCCTGTCACAGCACAAGACACATGAGGAACAATGAGTAAGTTCTGGAGCAGTCTTTATTACATGTACTACATAGTATTCCATTCCCCCAGCTGTCATCTGCTATGCTTGTTTATGATTTCTTATTATTTCTCAATAATGCATTCCTATACTGTATTGTGTGTATCAGATGACAGTTTGTATGAGTTGTGTAAGCTCACAGCCATATGTATAGCTTACAAGAAAGCTTGTATACAGCCTGGCATTCAAAACATTGTTTGCTATAGGAGGGAATGGTACAAAAACTACAATAAAAGACAACAGCTTAAACAAATTAAAACTTTTAAAATTTCATAGAAAGGAAAGCTTATATTTTATTATTATTTGTTCTGGAGAACAGCAAGAAGCTTAACATAAGGTTAATAACCTTTTGTACATTCTTATATAATCTATATCTTCCTTTCTCCCTCTAGTTTCATTTGCTATAGCTATATACTGCAGACTGGTTTTGTCACTGTTACTTTTGGTAAGGAGTTGTGTTTGTCTATTTTTATATTTATTGCTACTTCTCTCTCTTTTTATAGGCGTCATCGTCCAAGTTTGCCCTGGTTTCTCTTCTCCTGTTGGTTGCTGCTTTGTTGATGTATCCTGTCTTCTAGTTCCTCCGATGAATTTGATGTTGCCCTCAGCTCTTGATTTGATGTATACATTTTCCAGTATGTCCTCTGGCCCCTGTACAATACCTTTGGATCATAGCTATCATTATGGATACCAGTTAAGCACTAAATCAGGAGCCCAACCTTTTCATAGGCTCCTGAATAGTTGTACTATGCATCATGCATCCCTTTGCATGTGTACATGTAGTCCCATTCTTTCAAATAAAATTAGAGAGTTTGAGAGTACACCCTTAATTATACATTGTGTTATACAGGTGAGTGGTGACCCTTTACATTAGCTACTACACAGTAATATTGTACCATTCCTATACCTGTCATTGCTTGATGCTTCTTCCTTTAGCTTAGGTTCGTCTCTACTTACTGATTCGACAAACGTTCGATCAGGAAGTAACCAAATAATGCATTGTTTTATAATGTGTATTTTGTGTATCAAGCAATGACACGTCTTCATATGTAGCATTTCAAGAGTGGGAACTGTTTACCCGAAAACAGCATACCCTCTTGTTTGCTATAGGTGGGAATGGATAGTCAAAAATTTTCACTTTTTGTTGGCAGATTAAAAATAGGCCTTATTTTTGAATTAGAAAAGAAGATTGATAGCCTATTATTCTTATAATGTTCCTCATATAGGGGACCTAATTCATACATGTTCCCCATATAGGGGACCCAATTCATACATCTTCCCCATATAGGGGACCCAATTCATACATCTTCCCCATATAGGAGACCCAATGCATACATGTTCCCCATATAGGGGACCCAATTCATACATGTTCCTCATTACAGGTGACCCAATTTATGTTCCCCTCATACAATGAGTGCACTCATAGGTGGCCCATACATTGTATATACATCTCTAGGTTAGTACGTAGTCTTGGTTGCATACATGTATAGGTCAAAGTACATGTACATGCATTATGACAAGGTGTTATGTTTTGTTTTCAGCATCTACACGTCAAATCCTCATGGACTCTTTCTTAATGGATTAAGGTAACCAGCAATAGATTCTATTACCTCATAAATTACTGCTTTCATTCTAGGGTGGGCAGCAGTATAGCGCTACCTCCCCGTGGTGCTGCCTGGGGTCACTAGTATCTGATACTGCTAGTGATGCTAAAAGCGCTATGAGAAGACAAGAAAGCTACATGTGATGAACTTTTATTTGATGATACATTGCTGTACTTCAATCACATGTACATGTACCTCCTGCCACATAACTTAAGGAGTTTTGATCAGTGGTAATGTTCACCCTTTTATTAATGTCACGTCCTACAAGTGACATTAAACTATTTCTAAGTTATAATCATTAAATTCTTTCATTAAATTTTCATCAAATGAAAAATCTTTCTAAGCTACATGTATAGCTACAGTATCAATATTCAAGCAATAATAATTAGTATTATAACAGTTTTTATTAGCTATCAAGTCATCACAATTCTCTCTCACTGCATAAATTGAAATTTGTCACATTTTGCAGCATGCAACTCCAGATCAGTCTGAGTAGCAAAGTTACCCACGCCACAGATGGGGCACACTCCAGTGGGTTTGCTTGAGTCAACCCTCTCACCTGGTAAATGGAAGTTTCCCCCATCACCACCATCAGGAGGCTAAAGGGAGAAAAAAAGATTAATTAACGGAATGCCCAATCACATACAGTAAAATAAGTAAGTTTTTAGAAAAAAGCAAATACTATATCATAGGTTGTGGTTTTTTTTCAAAAAATGGCTCTGAAATCATTAAAAATTTTTATTACATTTTCTGATACATATTGATGTCCTTATGCTGTGTAGCAAGTTTGAGTTGATTCCGACTTCAAGTTATGGTCATTTTTAAAAGCAGCCAAATTTTGAAAAATACCCAAGGCTATAGTCCATGGTTTTTCCAAAAAATGGCTCCGAAATCACTCTCAATTTTTATTACATTTTCTAATACGTATTGATGTCCTTATGCTGTGTAGAAAGTTTGAGCTGATTCCGACTTCAATTTTTCAAGTTACGACCATTTAAAAACTTAGTTACTATGACTCTACTTTCCTTATATGGTATTACATGAACTACAGGTGGTTGGTTCTATTGAACTTACAAACTGTCTCCTTGGATCATACCCTCCTCCTCCACCTCCTCCTCTACCTGGTCCTCCCCTAAAGAATTAATAAAATAAAAAGTGAAACAATATTTCGAAGGTACCATTTCTGTTTAAGTATTTATTATCACAATTAGTATGGCAGGCATATTGACACATATTAGCTTGGAATGTTTGGATGGGATTCGTAAAATTAAGAAATAATTTCAATTTCCTTACATAAATAATTCTCCTCCTCCACTCTGTCCTCTTGGCTGATTAAGATCATTCAAGTCACTGCCACGCCTACCACCTCCGGCCCCACCCTCTTTCGGTGGAGGTGGTTTTGGCAAAGGAGTGAAATCAACATACGGCTGGGGTTGCTGGGGTGGGGGGATGTCCCTCCTGTCTCCTCCGGGATTAAACTGACGGGGGCCTCTGTGATCATCCATTCTACCTCCTCGATCATCCATTCTACCTCCTCGTCCTCCTCCATAATGTCCACCATAAGTAGAAGCTGGAGGTGGGCCACCTTGATACTCATCAGGGCGTGACATGTGACGATCGTCTTGAGGTCTCCGTTCCCAATCCTGGAATCTTGGTGGATCATTTGGGCGTCTTTGATACCCCCCACCTCCACCACAATCTCCTCCTCCTCCTACAGGCCGGGATATAGTATGGGGTCTCACTCCTGTTCCCATCCTTTCTCTATCATCAGGAGGTGGTGGACGATAATTCCTGGGACTCTCTCCTCCTCCTCCCATCCGCTGACCACCTGATGATGGACGGTTTGGCCTATCCCCAGGCCCACGGTCCATAGGTCTTGGGCCACGGTCCATGGGTCCTGGGCCACGGTCCATGGGTCCAGGTCCACGGTCCATGGGTCCAGGTCCACGGTCCATGGGTCCAGGTCCACGGTCCATGGGTCTAGCTCCACGGTCTATGGGTCCAGGACTACGGTCCATAGGCCCAGGTCCACGGTCCGTGGGTGGTCCATGATCCATTGGTACAAGAGGTGTCCTATCAACTGGTTCATGTCTGCTCAGTCGGTCCTCAAGGTTGGCTATGGTTCGCTGCTGGACAGTGACTTTATCCTTCAAGTCGTCAACTTGTTTTTGAAGACTCTCTCGATTGTTTCGCAAGGCATCAACAGCTTTTGCCTCCTTCTCCCTCGCAGCTCTTTCGGAATTAAAATCTTCTCTAGCAACTTCAAACTATAAAGGAAGATACAAAGTACACAGTGCAGATAAATTGTATTCTTTTACTTGTATTTTCCATTGTTCTGCTTCACTCAGATATTCCTCAATTTTTTTCTGACGCTCAGCTTTACTTTGATTCTCTTTCTTCTGATATTCAGCTGCTGCAGTGTCCCTCTCTTTAGCATATTTAGCTGCTTGACTAACAGCATCATCTCTTTCTTTTGATAATTGTAAAATATGAGCCTTTTGACGTCTTATCTCTTCTTTCTTGTTATTAAGGTCTTCAGTTAGTCCTAACATTTGAGTTGACATCTCCTATTAATAAATAAATTATAATATTTATAATATATGTAACACATGTATCATAGCCCACAAAGCACAAGAACATTTTGTAATGTCCCAATTGGTACAAGCCTATACAAAAGTACTTCTGAAATGAGGACACCTCTGTATTAAGGACAGGTAGTGTGGGCCCAATGGTGTCCTTAATAAAGAGGCTACACTGTACATGTATTAAGGACAGGTAGTGTGGGCCCAATGGTGTCCTTAATAAAGAGGCTACACTGTACATGTATTAAGGACAGGTAGTGTGGGCCCAATGGTGTCCTTAATAAAGAGGCTACACTGTACATGTATTAAGGACAGGGTAGTGTGGGCCCAATGGTGTCCTTAATAAAGAGGCTACACTGTACATGTATTAAGGACAGGTAGTGTGGCCCAATGGTGTCCTTAATAAAGAGGCTACACTGTACATGTATTAAGGACAGGTAGTGTGGGCCCAATGGTGTCCTTAATAAAGAGGCTACACTGTACATGTATTAAGGACAGGTAGTGTGGGCCTACACTGTACTATTGTTTTTAAGATACATACATGTATTACAGCTCACCTCCATCATTTTGTCCAAGTCAGTGTTTTCTCCCTCAGCCTCTGCTCTTGCTTGTTGCAGCTGTTTCTTGGTCTGATCAAGGTCAGATTGCGCTTTTGATAGTTGAACAGTTAACTCATGACTATACAGTACACGTGGTATGGAGTATATTGATAATGTGATACATTCTATCATATAACCTCTTCTACTTACACTCTTTCTTTCTCATTCTCCAGTTGATTCACTAAGTTTCCTCTTTCATTTTCCAGTTTAACATTCACTGACTCTAATTGAGTCAAATCATCTTTTGTAGTAGACAACCTAACAATCAATCAATTTATTAATTTATTTATTAAAGAGCTTACTTTCCTTCATAATCATCAACAATCTCCTGCTCTGCATTCCGTGATTCATCCAGATCCTGTTTCAGTTGATCTTTTTCACGTGCTATTCTCTCCTTTTCCTTTCTTATTCTCTCCATATCTTGTATCGCTCTCTCTTTGTCTCTGACTGCTTTCTCTTTCTCTCCCTTTAAAGTTTCTAGTTCGTCACTGCTTGCTGCACTGGCTAGCTGTCCTTTGAGTGTCTCTACTTCTTGAGTCAGCCTCTTGTTTCTCTGTTACAAATACATACAAAAATACATAAAGAAAATTAAAATGTACAATATAATGATACTAAGTGCAGGCTATCTTAATTGTGTACATTATAATGGTAGAATTGATTAAACATGCATACCGTATTTCCTTAAAAATAAAAGCCCAGGCATCTATTTCCTTAAATGGTATTTGGACCTCGAAAAAATTTTAAAAAATAAAAACTTTGGTCCAGAGCGGGATTCACACCAGTGACCTCATGCACTTAATGCACTCATGCACTTAGCCTTATGTCAAGGCTAAATTTGCATATTTATACTTCACTTCTATTGCTACCCCGGCGTTTATTCACATCCGGCTTTTTTGACGATATACAGTACATGTATACACCTACCCCTATTTCGTCATTGAGTCGTCTCTTGATGTTTCCAACGTTTCCAACAATTCCAGTTTTATAAGCATCTACTCCTCCTCCATCAGGATTATCCGGTCTTGACTTGTCTTCTAACTCTTGCTCTTTTGCCCGAAGGTCTCGCTCTCTATCCGCAAGTTTCCTGTCCTTAGCATTCAGCTCTCTCTTCAATTGGCTAATCTCATACTCCAGCTCATCTTTCATCGTCCGATATTCTGATTCTTTTTGTTCAAGCTGTTCCTGTAACTCTCTCTCCTAGAGGGAAAGGAGAGAAAGATGCTAGGTCATATTAATGCTAAGACTCACTCTATCCTTATCAACGGGTCTCCTATCTTTGGTTTTTAGCTCTCTCTTCAGTTCTCTAACTTCTCCATCATGCTGGCTCTTCATGGCCCTAAATTCAGATTCTTTCTCTTGAAGTTCTTGTACTAGATCTCTTTCCCTCGATTGAAAATCGGCTTTCTGAGCTTGCAGCTCTCTCACTTTAGCTTGCAGTTCCATCTGAAGATCTGCTTGTGACTACAAATGAAAGAGAAAGTGAGAAGGAGGTTTGAATAACAATTCAAGTGACCAAGGCAGTATAAATATAGTCAAACCTTTGATACTCCTCCAGCTACCCTTTCCAACTAAATTTTTGAATTAAACAGAATCAACTTTACCTAAAACACATTCACTTACTTCACCAAGTTGTGCCCCCAAAGAGACATTCATATCTTGGGCTTCTCTCAATTCACTTTTCAAGTGTGACACCTCTGACTTTAAGAGAGAGAGAGAGAAAGAGGGAAAGAAAGAAAGCAGGCATTTTAAGTACACTGCATGATTTCGTCTGATAATTGATACATTTGCAACGTACATGAGTCATTTAATTAATGTACAAGTACATTTCACTCAAAATGAATCGCACATTAAACAATAAAACTCAGTTCTTACTCTAAATTGAGAATTGGAACGCTTCTCTTCAGATAGCTCAAGTTGGAGCTGACTCAACTGACGATCCAACGAGTCAATTTGTCCTTGATTTGCAGGTGGGCGGGACTGAGACTGCTTCAAATAATCCTTTAAAAGATACACGAATAAAAATGGAAAGATGAAATATAAAAGTTACGTTTTCTTCTCTTAGCTTCTGCTCTCTCTTCTCAACTTCAGAGAGATCATGCTATGAAGGAAAGGAGAGCGTGGCAGTTATCATTATACTATCCATGACTTGCCGATACAATACCTTGAGCTTGTTTATTTCTTCGTTCAGTTTTCTAGAAAGGTCACTCGTTGAGAGGGCATTGCGTTGCAAGGCAGCCTTATCATCTTCAAGCTAAAGGAGAAGGAGGAAGAGGGTAACAATGCTTTTTTGTGAATTTCACAACAAATTCCGCCACAAAAATTTTAAGCACATGTAAATGATGTATTTTACTTGTCTTACACGACTCATGTCCGATTGCTTTTGCTTGTCGTGATCCTTTTCTCCGTTCAGTTTCACTATCTGTGCTTTAAAACCCAACACTGAGACTCTAGCGTCCCAATACAACTTATGAAGGTGCTTCACTTCCTCTATAAAAGATATAATTAATAGATAGCCACACCCACAACCACACCCAAGATTATGAATATTCATTGATTAATGAATTGTGATTTAATTAGATTTTGGAAATACGAAATTTAAAAAAAGTATCTTGTACACGTGACATGAAAACATGATATTTACATGACACTTTTCCTAATTATATAATTAATTAATTAATTACTAGTCACAAGTAATTAGTAGCTACTTCTATTAATACGAATTAGTTATTAAAAGGTAGTTATAAATAGGTAGTTATTAAAGGCAGTTATTGTAGTCATAGTGTAACTTTATATGGTAACGAGTAGTTTACTATAAGTTAAAGTAAATAAGACATCATGTTGATCTGATTAACAAGGAACAATGTATATCAACACTAACCTTCTTTGCTTGCCACTAGACTTTCTTTGCTAGCCACTAGACTTGCTATCTCATTATTGTTAGCTTTTAGAGTTTCACTAAAGAAACATCAAATGACACACATCATAATATGTAACTGTAAAATACTGCCATTTTAATCGCGATAACTTATATATAGTACATAACATATTACATTATACATGTACATGTACTGTGAATTTGAAAATTTATGCTTTATTCAATTTATAACTAACATATTATAACACGTCACTGTAAAATACATGTACTTACATTTTAACTGCCATTACATATATAGACATTATCAGATAATAATATATTATAACAATTATACTGTGGATTTGAAAAAAAACATGTATGCTTCACTCAATTTATGCTTTTAATATTCATTATTGGTTCATTTTGCTATAGATAGTTTCTTACCGTAGTTTCTCATTGTCCACCACCAGCTGTTGCATTTGTGATAGTACATCATCCCATATCTCTGGTGTGACTCCGCCCATCTTTCCACCAAGCTCGGATGCTTTAGACGCTAGAGCACTGACACCAGCTGGACCTCCGTACTGAACAAAACAAAAACAATGAATTTAAAGATTAGCCCATTGTAAGACAGCATCTCATTAACAACAAAACCAATACATGTATATATATATACAATATATCTATGTGCTATTATAAAGGCTATTTCACTATTAACATATTTCTAACTGTACATGAACAACCCACATTATTCATTTAAATCGATATATTTTCCTTACGTTTTGTTCATGAGGGTAGCCAGGGCGTTGCTGTTGATAGGCCATATGCTTCAGTCACTAGTCACGGTATATACACAGCTGCACTGTCCTCCAATCACTGTGTGTGTGTATCTAATGATATTCTCTGTAACAAGAGAATGAACTGGATGAGTAAGAAAAAGTGAATAAGCTTAGGGATTTACCCCTAAACGGGCCATCTGACGCAAACCACGCCCATACATAATGATAACCACACCCTGTGCAGTAAAATTATGAATGCATTCAAAATTTTCAATGTAACTTTACAAAAAATTAAAAACAAAGTTTGTGAATCTGTAGTTGACTAAAATCTTTTGGGGATCTTTTTTGCTGGCCTTGGCAATGGTGTGAAATCTACATAAGGTTGAGGAGGCAGTACCAGTTTGGGTTCATGATGCCCAGGTTGCTGTTCTGTCCTATCAACAGGTTCATATTTGCTCAGTCTGTCCTCAAGCTTGGCTATGGTTCGCAGTTGATTAACAACCTTCTCCTTCAGGTCATCAATTTCTTTTACTAGACTCTCCTGATTGTTTCTCAATGCATCAACAGCTTTTGCCTCCTTCTCCCTCGCAGCTCTTTCAGAATTAAAATCTTCCCTTGCAACTTCAAACTACAAAGAGAGAGAAAGGAACATACAGTACATATATACATGTATACATTTTATTTTATTTTACTTGTATTTTCCAGTGTTCTGCTTCACTCAGATATTCATCAATTTTTTTCTGACGGTCTGCTTTACTTTGATTCTCTTTCTTCTGATATTCAGCTGCTACACTGTCCCTCTCTTTAGCATATTCAACTGCTTGGCAAACAGCATCATCCCTTTCTTTTGACAATTGTAAAATATGAGACTTTTGACGTCTTATCACTTCTTTCTTGTTACTAAGCTCTTCAGTTAATCCTGTCATTTCATTTGACATATCCTATAGCAAGTGTATTATAATAATGTTCAGTAAATTACATGTACTTCAATACTAGTTCATAATATCATTGTTTCTACTAAATATTACAGTTCACCTCCACCATTTTATCTATGTCAGTGATTTCTCCCTCAGCCTCTGCTCTTGCTTGTTGCAGCTGCTTCTTGGTCTGATCCAGTTCAGATTGCGCCTTTGATAGTTGAAGACTTAACTCATAACTATATACATATAAAAGAAATGTACATGATTCAAATCCCTTCCTCTCTTTTCTCCTCTCTCTCTTTTTCCTCTCTGTTCCGCTTAGTGCACTCTTTCTCATTCTCCAGTTGAGCCTCCCTCAGAAATCATCTTTTGCAGTGGACAACCCAATAGTTAATTAGTATTCATAACCTATTCATCACAGCATCGTCTTTTTCTTTTGATAATTGTAAAATATGAGCCTTTTGGCATCTTATCACTTCTTTCTTGTTACTAAGCTCTTCATATAATCCTGTCATTTCATTTGACATATCCTATAGCAAGTGTATTATAATAATGCTCAGTAAATTACATGCATGTTAATACTAGTTCATAATATCATTGTTTCTACTAAATATTACAGCTCACCTCCATCATTTTGTCCAAGTCAGTGTTTTCTTCCTCAGCCTTTGCTCTTGCTTGTTGCAGCTGTTTCTTGGTCTGATCAAGTTCAGATTGTGCCTTTAATAGTTGAACATTTAACTCATGACTATATTAGTACACATCATGGTATGGAGTAAATTAATAATGTGGTATATTCTATTGTCTTCCACTTACACTTTATCTTTCTCATTCTCCAGTTGAGTCACTAAATTTCCTCTTTCATTTTCCAGTTTAACATTTATTGACTCTAAATGAGTGATGTCATCTTTTGCAATCAATAACCTAACAAATTGATCAATTTATTTATTTATTTATTAAAGAGCTTACTTTCCTTCGTACTCATCAACGATCTCCTGCTCTGCCTCCCTTTCTTCATCCAAATCCTGTCGTAGCTGATCTTTTTCCTGTGTTAGTCTCTCCTTCTCCTTTCTTATTGTCTCCATATCTTGTGTCGCTTTCTTTTTCTCTCTGACTGCTTTCTCTTTCTCTCTCTCTAAATCATCTTTTGCAATAGACAGCCTAATAACTATTAATAAATTTAAATTGCATGGTGTACTGGCTAACTGATTCTTTAGTTGCTCATTTTCCTTTGATGTTTTGTCTCTTTCTTGTACAAGCTTATCTTTTTCATTTACTAATCTGTCTTTTTCTTGTAGTAGTCTATCTTTATCCTGTAGGAGTCTATCCTTCTCTACCACAATTTCTTCTTTCTCTTGTGACAGTTTGTTCTTTTCTATTTTAAGAGCTGCCACTTCAACATTGCTAGCTGATGTTACACTGGTTGACTGTTCCTTCAATGACTCCATCTCTCTTGTCAAATCATTAATCACTTTTTTCTTTTCTATCTCATCAACTACATCAGATTGAACCTTAAAAAGTTTATCTTCCAATACTGCTATTGTCTCTTTCTGGTCTGTAATTGTTTGCTTAAAACCATCAACTTGTCTTTCATGATTATTTCTCAAAGTATCAACTATAGTAGCCAGCTTTTTCTTCTCTGAATCCAGATCATTTCTTGCAGTGTCATACTATAAAAGAATTAAGGAAGATTATATGCCTCCAATGACAGTACTAGGACATTTTACATAAAACTTTTAAAACAAAATTTAAAAAAGAACCAAAAGTTTGACAGTATTATTCTTATTTACTCACTGCATCATCTCTCTCTTTAGCCAATTGGTCAATCAGTGTTTGCTGGTATCTTATTTCTTCTCTCTTATTTCCAATATCTTTTGTCAGCAATGAAACCTCTTTTGACATTTCCTAATAAATAATGCAAACAGATACAAAGCAACGGTAATCTGAACACTACTATCTAAACACATAAAGCTGTAATGAAAGCTATTTAGCCTGTTTTCATACACAATGTGCACATAGTATAATCAAGTCTGCAAAGTTACCTGAAAATATTTCTCCATATCACTATTGTTACTCTCTAAAGACTCTTTTGCAAGTTGGAGCTCAACTTTTGTTTGATCAAGCTCAGACTGAACATTCACTAGTTGAGTTGTGAGATCATTACTGCATGCAGGAAGAAACAAACAAACAACATGAATGTGCATGAAACTAAACACTGTAAATTTCTTACATTTTATCTTCTTCACTTTTTCTTTCAGACTCCAACTGAGCCACAAGTGTTGCCACCTCACCATTCAACCTTTCTACCTCTTTTTTCAGCCATCTATTTTTCTAAATACATGCATGGACACATGTAAGTATATCTATGTCGTCATAATTACCCCAACTTCTTCATTAAGCCGATATCGTACTGCCGATTTGGCCATACCTATTAATGCAACCCCTTCTTCTCCTCTTCCATGCATTAATGATCTACGGTTATCTGATCCACTTTCTTGAAGCTCTCTTTCATCTTCTTGACTCTCATCTTCTTTTACCTTAAGCCAGTTAAATTTAATAATATAAGTAGCCTGACGTATGGTTTATCTTTCGTCTTTACCATATCTCTTGCTTGCTTTAATTCAGTCTGAAGTTGCTTCATTTTACTCTTTAACTGCAACAAACAGATAGATGTACAATCTATTTTTACAGATAGAAGGTTTCTCACATCATCCTGCTCTTCTTTTTCCCCTGACTTGGACATTTTATGAACAGCTTCTTCTAGGAATGATGCACCATAAGTACAACGCCCCTTAATACCACGCCTGCGCCCAGCCTACTATAAAAAAAGCAAGGCCCATGTAATGGCGGAAAAAGAGGAAGGCAGCTCATGGATAGATCCCAGTCTCCTGGTTGGTCTGGGACTAGTGGCAGCTGGAGCTATTTATTACTTAGCTTCTAGAAGAGAGAGAGAAAGGATATCTGTACCTATAGATAACCAGAGCATTGAATTACCAGTAAGTAATCAGCAAAATTATATAATTTTAAATCTTCTTTCACTTTTTCTTTATTAAAGGGTGGGGTGAGGATATCAAGATATTGTGTTAACGAGGAGCTGTTGGCTTACAAGTATGAGGACTCACGGACTCTTTATGAAGCATTCATGAGAGGGAAAAGAGTATCAAGTGAGATTTAGTAATTTTAACAATCAATTTGTGCTAATAATAATTTTTATTAAGAGAAATTTAAAATACTGACACACATAAATTAAATAACATCACTAAGAATTAGTAGAGCAAACCAGCAGTGCTTTAAAACTCTGACATTAGTTAACCTGATTCTGCATGATCAAAATGAATGGGTTTTTGCTTGTCACATATTTCGTAACA